TATACGTATATAGTGGCTGAATCAATTGAACAGTTTTAAATAACTATGTGTTACCTTTAAACATGATCTCACTTATATCCATCCATCATATGGGAATGTGTATTGATAAAACTACAGGTTTTGTGTAGTGTTTTTCTGGTGTTTGAAGTTTAGGTGACGTCTTGTTTGAATTCAAAATGCACAATATTTTAAGATGTGTGTTAGAACATTATGAATAATCTCTCAATTGCATATATCATGTCATGCAAATGTAACATTAAAAAAAAGTCAAAACAACTCCAGAGCATTGGGCCTGTTGCGGTTACGGGTCAACGCGGTAGCCTGGCGTCCGGCCGTTTAATGGGGGGTGCTCTGGATGTGAAAAGATACAAGATACTGGAACCAAAACATAAACGTATATACAGTATGTCTTGTTACATTTAGTAATAGCGAATCCTAAAGAAGACGTATGATTTGACCACCGAAGTCCAGTAGATACTTCATTATTAAAAACATGAGCCTTTTTAGCGCCATTTATTTTATTTTATTTTTATTTTTTTTAATTGCCAGCTCAGAATCAAAACCGCGTGGCAATTAACAGGTAAATTGTACCTGTACATCTAAACAACAAGTGTGTATAGGTAAATTGAAATAAACTGATGTTTGTTGTTGTAGGATGTACAAATGTGTGGTGTGTTGTATGTGTGTGTATGTGTGTGATGATGGAGTACATGTTGGTTGACTTTTGGCAAATCCTTAAAATTGATACAATGTATATTGCACAACAGGTAAGTATGAACAGGTCTGTATTGATATATTCTTGTTTGAAATAAACAATAAAACTATTTTACTGATTGTTGAATGGGAGTAAGATTTAAAGCTGTAACTCTAAATGTTAGAGGACTTAACAAGTCAAGGAAAAGGATAAACACTTTTAGATGGTTAAATAATCAAAATATAGGTGTAGCATTTCTGCAAGAGACCTTCAGCCACACAAAAATAGAAAATCAATGGAGGAATGAGTGGAAAGGTATTTCAGTGTTTTCGCACGGAACCTGTCATAGTAAAGGAGTAGCTATACTGATATCAGAAAAAGTTGATGCTAATATAATTGATAAAACAGTGGATAAAAATGGTCGTTACATAATACTTAATGTTGAGATAGATGGCGATACATATTGTTTTGTTAATATATACGCGCCTAATGATAAAAACCAACAGATAACCTTTTTTCAAACATTGAACCAGTTATTGGTAAATTCAGTTGATACAAATTATTGTTTTTGCGCTGGAGATTTTAATTGTGCACTTACAGAAAAGGACAAAAATGGAGGAAAATCAGTACAAGACAAAAGCAAAGTAATCAATGAGATTTTAACCTTAAAAACTACTAATAATTTACAAGATATATGGCGCTATCAGCACCCTCTAGAACATAGATATACCTGGCAAAATAACAATTGTAAAATACAATGCAGGCTGGATTATTGGTTAATATCAACAGATTTAAATCAACAGGTTAGCTCTGAAATAGGATTTGGTCCGTCTCCTGATCATAATGCGGCATTTATAACATTTCAAACGAAAAATTTTAAAAAACGGGGACCTGGGTTCTGGAAATATAATTCATTGTGGGATAATGATGTGGAATATAAAAAGTTAATACGAGAGGAGATTAAAAATTCTAAGGAAAAACACAAAGATACTCAAGATCTGGGGTTAAAATGGGATCTTATTAAAATGGATATCAGATCAGTCTGTAAGAGATATTGTAAGACAAAGGCAAAGGAACATAAACTGGAAGAGGAAACAGCACTGAAAGACCTAAACGAAGCTCAGGTAGCACTTGACCGAAATAATAATATTGAAACTGTTAACAAATATAATACATGCAAACTTAAAGTAGAATTAATACAGGACAGAAAAACACAAAGTAGTATAATGAGATCCAAAGCACGGTGGTGTGAGTATGGTGAACGATCAAGCAAATACTTTCTAAATTTAGAAAAGCATAATTACTCCAATAAAGTGATAAATTCTATTTATGATAAAAGAGGTGTTTTAGTTAATGACCCCAAACAAGTATTACAAACAGAAGAATCATTTTACAAAGATTTATATAGTAAAAAGAATAATGACCCGGATGGTAAATATTCAAACATATTTTTTCAAAATGAAATTCCAACAATTGATAATATTGATAAAGAAAATTGCGACAAGAGAATTACATGTGAAGAATGCTATAAATCGTTAAAAACTTTTAAAAAGAATAAAACGCCAGGGACAGATGGTCTTACAGCTGAATTTTATTGTATCTTTTGGGATGAGATTAAACTAGAAATGACAGATAGCTTCAACTATTCACTTATAAAAGGAGAACTCTCAATTTCGCAAAATAGAGGAATTATTTCTCTTATTCCAAAAAAGGGGAAAAATAGGCAACATCTCACAAATTGGCGACCATTAACTCTTTTAAACGTGGATTATAAAATATGTACAAAAACTATTAGTGAACGTTTCAGAGATATTTTACCAAAACTGATACACAGTGACCAAGTTGGGTATGTTAAAAACAGATATATAGGACAAAGTATAAGACTAATTTATGATATGCTGGATTACACAAAGACAAACAACATTAAAGGTCTTCTTCTTTTAATTGATTATAAGAAAGCATTTGATAGCATTGACTGGAAGTTTATGATAAAAACACTAGAAAAATTCAATTTTGGGGAAACACTTATAAATTATGTTAATGCGATATATGCAAAACCACAGAGTTGTGTCATAAATAATGGATACACATCTGAATGGTTCCAATTAGAAAGGGGAGTTCGCCAAGGTGACCCACTCTCTGGGGTAATTTTTATACTTGTTGCCGAATTATTAAGTATTGCAATTAGATCTGATCGAAATGTAAAAGGAATTCCTATTAAGGATAAATATGAAGTCAAGCTTTGTCAGTATGCTGATGACACTACTATATTTTTAAATGATCAAGAGTCTGCAAATAATGCCTTAGAATTAGTGGAAAAGTTTGGTAAATGCTCTGGCTTAGAAATTAACAAAGACAAAACTGAAATAATGTGGATCGGAAGAGATAAAGGAAACAAACAAGACATAAATGGAATTAAATCAAAAACCAGTGTAAAAGCTTTGGGAATAACATTTACTTATGATATAGATGATAGAACAAAATTGAATATTGAAAAGAAAATTGATGAAATGAAAAATAAAATAAAATTATGGAATATGAGAAACTTAACACTAATAGGTAGAATTCAAATTATTAAATCTTTAGGTATTTCTCAGCTAACATATGTTAGTTCAGTTATGCATATACCACCCCAAATTTTACAAGAAATAAACAAAATTATTTTCGAATTTGTGTGGAAAAAGAAACCACCAAAAGTAAAAAGAAAATCACTTATTGCTGAAATTGAACAAGGGGGGTTAAAAATGAAAGATTATGATATTATGGATCAATCACTAAAATGCACATGGATAAAACGATTGTTAGAGAAAGGGCAGTCAGCATGGAAAGAAATTCCAAGTTTATTCATTGAACCACATGGTGGAATTGGTCTTCTCTCTCAGTGTAATTATGACATAAAGTATTTTGAAAACTATAAAGCAATTCCCAAATTTTACTTAGCAATGCTTAGAACATGGGCTGAAGTAACCCATCATGATGTCAATAATTGGAATGATGTTAAAGATGAAGTTATATGGAATAATAAAAACATTTTAGTCAATAATAAAATGGTGTACTATAAAACATGGCATCAAGCAGGTATTGCAACAATTTATGACATCCTAGACAGAGATAATAACTATTTATCCCTGACAGAACTTGAACGAAAATTCAACATTCCTATAGACTTTTTAAAGTATGCCAGCATACTCAGTGCTATTCCCAAAAAATGGAAAACTCTTAAAAATAGCACATTGAAAAACAACCCTTCAAAGAAAAATGTTCCTAACCCTAGTCAATTGTCGTGTAAAGCTATTTACAACAAAATCCTTGAAAAAGAAATCGAGAAACCCACATCACTAACAAAGTGGATACAAAATAACAATGTAAATGAAAATGACATGAAATACTATTATACACTTGCAAAAAAGGTTACATATGAAACTAAAATGTGGAGCTTTCAGTACAAAATACTTACGAATACACTAGCGTGCAACCGTAAATTAAAAATGATGAACATTTCACAGACAGACAAATGTCCATGGTGTGATGATACTCATACCATGGAGCACTTGCTGGTGAAGTGTAGAATAACAAAAGATATATGGAAGCAATTTATTGAATGGTGGAAACTAAAACTAAATAAAGAATTAAATCTAACTGAAAATGATATTTTATTAGGTATTATCGGGAATAGAGAAAAAGGGGCAGAACTAAATCTGTGCATACTAATTATGAAATATGTCATATACAAATCTTTTTTAGAAAATGAATTACCGTACTTTTTCAAATTTACCAATTATCTGAGAATATATTTGAACAGTGTTAAGCTGCTTGATCAAAAGGGTGTAGACATACATGCTTTATATAGACTTTTATGAATAAACAAATAAATTCTTATTTTACAAATTTGTGTCATAGTCAATGTATGAATAGTGGGTGAATGAATGCATGCACGAACGTAATGAATGGGTGTGAATGGAGTCAGTAAGATCATGTAATAATTTTGTGTTATTATTACTATTTAAAAATGATTTATAGACATAGTACATATATCTATATGAAAGAACTACTTGTATTTAATGAAGCTTGTACTTGAATTGTATTAAATTATTACTTGAAAAAAAAAAAAAAAAAAAAAAAAAAAAAAAAAAAAAAATACCTCAAAACAGGCTAGAAATAGGGGACACACTTTTTTTTCAAAGGACACACTTTTTTTTAAAAAACTGCGTCCTTTGGACTCACAAATTTTCTAACCTAATGCAAGCGCTGAAGGAGGTATGAGTTCTGGAAAACTGTGTTCGGAGGATGCACGTCATCCACTTACCTTGCAGCTGTGTGATATTTTGTGATTGGTTGAATGTCACATTGACGGATCCAGATTCATTCAGGGACTGACGTCGTACTGTATTAGGAGTGGGGGTACGGGGTGGGGTCGCAGAGGGGGTAGGAGGCTGCATAACCTGACCCACAGCTTGGTTGTAACTAGGCAACATTGCTAAAATAAAAGATGTGTAAGATGGAAGTAGAGGATGACAATTTATCTACCAATTAAAACAATATGTAATAAATAATAATAAATAGTAGCCTAACTCTTTGCTTGTAATCCAATGGGGAATATTGGAGAGCATTGGAGGCCTGAATGATTATTACAGCATTAGGAGACAGCGTACTTACTACTTATTACGTTATATGTGTTTCGGGTAAGCCATCATCCTTGAATAATGGAAAACACAATTATTGTATTGACCCAACGGCGCCCCAGGGGAATGACTAACTAACGAGCATAGTGTAACAAGCCAGATAAAGAAATTGAAAGAAAGTGTGCTAAATTCAATGCCCCGTGTGGGAATCGAACCTAGGACCCTTGGGCCCAAAGTCTGATGCTCTACCGACTGAGCTATAAATGCTTAAGTCACTACAGCTGGACTGTAGTAGCAACTTGCTATCAAGGGTCATTACATTATTTACAGCTCAGAAACCCCCACCTCTTTTAATCCTTTTCCACCTCTGATAAAATGCTCATAATGACAGTGTAATAAAAAACATTGTTTCAACTTACGTTGTGTTCCTGTGGGAGTGGTAGCTGGGCTTGGTGTACTGGGGGGCCTGTATGATCCTAAATGGCGTAAACGTTGTTGCTGTTGCTGCTGCTGTTGTTGTTGCTGTTGTTGTTGCTGCTGACTCATATTTTGTTGTTGCTGTTGAGTCATATTTTGTTGCTGTTGCTGCTGTTGTAATTGTTGCTGTTGTAATTTCTGTTGTTGTATTTGCTGCAATTGTTGTAGCTGTTGCTGTTGTTGGGGTGTCATTTGTTGTACTTGAGTCAGTTTCTGTTGTTGTATTGTCTGTGATTTTTGTTGTAATTGTTGCTGGAGTTGTTGCTGTTGAAGTTGTAATTGTTGCTGTTGTAATTGTTGTTGTTGTAACTGTTGCTGGGAAAACTGAGCAACATTCACATTTGGGACTGCGTTCGAACCTGAAAATTGTAAACTTTAGAATTAAAATTCTTTGATCAGACCTGTCTACTTCATAGTCAAAGTACTGTAAAACATATTGAATTTGCCGGAGTAATTTTCGGGGAATTGTACATTTGTTTCTTTGTGCATACTCATGTCTGCATGATTTTTGCAAGTGCCTCAAGTAATGCCAGGAATTCAATTTAAAGTGGAATCCTGGATTCAGGATTTTACACTCACATGAATATACAAAAATTCAAGGTGTCCACCAGTTTAATCTGTTTTACAGTAGTTCCATGTAGCATGTACTATATGTATTAAATTGTATCATAAAATTAGATATAGAGAGTCATCATCTCCTTATCTTTCTAAAACACTTTAAATATGATTGTTTTAACATGACAATTTGCCACCACATGGAAAGAGAAAAAGTAATAGACACTGATCTTATATTTAGATATACATGATGAAAATGTGAATGTGTCAAAATCGTTATTTCCCCAAAAATCATAATTGAAAAATTGCCATTAGAAGACAAATAGCCATTATGAAAATACAAATAAAAATGAATGTATTCATGAGCGAATAATTTGTATGCAAATAAGATTCAAGATCAGCCACTTACTGTATGTTGAGTCAGTTGGCTGTGGGCTTGTCAACTGTCCCCCTGTACTGACAGTAGTGGGGGCCTGTAGCGATAGGGAGAGTTTGATAGGCGCAGTACGTTTTACAGCTTGTTTCGATGCATCAATCTACAAATGAGAACATACATACAGATATTTTCTGAGATCTCCTCTTTGGTTATACCTTCTATACTCTTATACTTCATGTTTTAATTTTCAAGCTTTAAAATGGGTTTGAAATGAAGCATTTTTCAGTTTTTAACATAATGCTTGATATACATGAATATAATACAGTGATACTCTGCTCAATCTTTCCTACTCATATTACAGCACAATTTAAAACAGAATTTCTTTAATTGGATTAAAACTGAAAGTTATACATTTTGCAATTTAAGTGAAAAATTCATTGATACATTATCTTGTAAGTCTCACTGAGTCAATTATGTGACACAAAATTTTGTCACTCTGAGGAGTTGTCTGGTTGTAATCTGTTATTTCTGCACAATACGGACTTTTAATCCAATATTTTGGAATTTCACAAATATTGATCACATGTGTGATTAAAATTAATGAACAAATTGAAATAAACTGTAGAAAATGAAATTGAACATAAATTACTAAGTACTGCAAATGAATTATTGAACTATTTACCTGTCCTGCTATGCTAGCAGCTAAATTTGAAGCTTGGGAGAGTAAGGCCTGTGTACTACTGAGGGCTGACGATTGTTGACCCCCTGAGGGCTGAGGGACAGTCTGTGTGAATGTGACATGTGGGGGTTGGCCGGGGACATAATGCGTAATCTTCACCTGTTTTCTCCCCTCTTCTGTGAAGATCTCACGAAACTGTTTTATATACTTATCTACATTACCACGAGTTCCAAGTGGGAACCTAGAAGGTGGAACAAAAATGAACTTCATGAAATGGATATTATAGACATTACACACTCAAGTGACATAAAACAACTACAACAAGTGTGTGTTTCTATCTCGAGGTAACATGAAAGAATCTTAATTCAATTTCTACATTATAATTTAGTGTTCCTCTGATGGACTTCAAATATTCAATGAGGAAAGATAATTTATATATAATGAATAAAGAAATATACCCAAATATTAAAATATATGCGCAAGTACAAGTATGTTGAGAAGGAAATAGCTTTTAAAAGCTAGGAAATAGAATAATGATATCTGCCTTTCCTCCTTTGGTATTTATTTTCTTACTTGCATGTAGATCCTGATTGGTTGTCTTCACTGTAGTCCCTAGCAACATAGAGCTCCCCCTGATAGAAGTCATCAGAACTACGCTGTTGAATCATGAGTCGTGTGTGGCAGACTTTACTTGCCCCTTGTCCTTGTTCTCTCTCAAATATCAACTTCTCAATTATCATCTACAACAAGAAAGTATGTACTGCAAACAATGATTTTATCAAATTTTGAAAAATTAAGCTTATAGGGCTTACTCCAGACCAAGAGTAATGAAGTTTCTTCATATAGCTGATTGGACTAAGGGTTTAAAACAATATTTTTGGGCCTTGCATTTTGTACTAGCTATGACAGGAAATAATTTCCAAAATGAAAAATAAATAAAGCATTGATAATTATTTTGGCTTAGAATACTCACTCAGACATCAATTGTAATTTTATTGGTAGTATAATTGACAATTTTCTAATAATAGTAGTGCGATATGACTTTTTTCCAAAATTATTTATATGTTTTAAAAACTTTAATCAAAAAGGCTTCTCAATACAAAATGATAATATCTGAATTTTTGAAAATCTGCAATGTACTCACAGGTATATTGTTTAGGGTGAGTTTAGGTTTCTCAATGACTCGTGCCAGTTTCTCCACATTGATATTCTCTGCAGCTGGGACATCAAGATGGACATGTTTCTGCCGCCACATATCAACACACTGAAACAATATGTTGTTATTGGATACATATATAATATATTAATGATACAATACATAAAATTCTTTAATCTCATCTATGTTAAGAAAGTAAGTGTGAATGGTTACAGAAATATGTCACAATTTGTTACATATATTGAATGCCAACCAATACAAAAATATGGACAGACAGATGGATGAGTGGAAAATTCCATGAAAAGAAAAAAACACAATTCTTCTATATAATCCATATACGTACATGTACAATTAGATATTGATGAATCGTCATAAAATATGTAAAAAAACATTTTTCACTGAAATACAAATATTTATCATAACAACTTGTCTACAGATCTGTATGGCTCACAAAGGGATATCAAAAATGTGCAATACGTACAACTACAATAAACAAAAAATCAAAAAAGCACAATAGTAGACAATTAAGTTTGTCCAGAAGAATTATATAACATATTTACACAATATAGAACCATTTCATTAACAAAACAATATCTATAACACTTTCAAATACGGTGCTGTTTAAAGGTGTCTGCAATTACACTGAACATGGAACACCAGTCACTTAAAATGGTGACTAAAAATATGTCACCACTACAATCTATGACAAGAAAATTAAAATTATGAAAAATAGCACAATGATTGTTGATATCAAAATGACTACTCAGCATTTTTACCCGTGTTTGGATATGGAAATATTGGACTCAATCACCTAGTTAAGGAGATGTAAATAAAAGTTAAATGTCTATGGGAATACCAAGTGAATTAGAGGCAAAAAAAGTCAGTCGAGAAGATAGAGAATTCAAAAAGACAAAAGCCGAAAATAATGAGTTCTTGTAAAAATTAGAAAATCCAAGGCAGTATCCCCCAATATAAATTATAAAAGCATAGAATAGTCATTATTTAAAGAATTGTATTTACTTGTTTTAAAAAGAATTATCAATAAATAGATCCTCATTACCTATTTATTTTACTGTGATAATTTTACAAAACATCCTTTTAAAATAGTAACTCAGATACATAAATAATACAATAATATGTCTAGTAATAAGCATACCAGAAATAACTACAATTTTTGACTAAAAACACCATGACTTCACACAATGCCTGATAAACAGAAAATAGCACGTACTTAATTCATATAAAAGTAAGAAAAAAGCATTAACATGCAAAATGTCACGACTTGCCATTTGTTACAGATGCCAAAAACCCTCCATTAAATGCCAAACACCAACTACTAACTAATAAACACCATCCATAAAAAGATGGAGACTATAACAATATGTCACCACTTCTTCTGGTGACACTAAAACTGAAAGAAATTGAACATCATTGAAAAAAGGATAAGTAAGAATGCAGGTCCTAAAGAATTTGCAGACCTGCCAACCTGGAGTTATAAAAGTTAATAAAATTGACAGAAATTCATGTAGCAACTCCAATTGATTATCATCAACTTTTAATATTATTATGTCAAATACTAGATTAGTATCTTTGTTAAATTAGTTAAACATAATACTGAGGTTGGCAAGTTTGACTGTAAAAAAGAATTGAAATCTGAGATCTGAAATCTATAGAAATGTCTCAACAAATTCCCCTGTAAAAGAGGCCAGTTGATAGGTTTGCATAAGATTAATAATACCTTGACATAAAATCTTACCATTGTCAAACAAGCATCATCCTTGGACAACATGAATGAAGGGAAATCAAAATTAAAATGCTTAGTTTTTATTTTTATTTTCATTTCTCTATTCTATTGATAACAACATGATGAACACAGAACCGGACCTGAGGTGATGTAGGGGGAATATTAATTGGTAATCATGAGGTGGATATGAGGTGGCAGCTTTATGAAGAACATGAGGTAATCAAGAGGTGAATATGAAGTGAATGTGAGGTGATCAAACATAATCATGAGGCAGACATGAGGTTGATTCAGTGATATATGGTGAACATGAGGTGGATATATGGTGAACATGAGGTGGATGTATGGTGAACATGAAATGAAGATGAGGCAGACATGAGGTGGATGTATGGTGAACATGAGGTGGATATATGGTGAACATTAAATGAAGATGAGGTGGACATGAGCTGGATGTATGGTGAACATGAGGTGGATATATGGTGAACATGAGGTAAAAATGATATATAGTAGATATATGTGGTAAACATGAACAAAGCATTAATTAATTTAATTAATTATTTCCTGAAGATATATTTCATTTAAATTAATGTTTACTGGGTAACTCTTGATCTTTCACAATTTGACAAATGCACATAAATTGTTAAATTTTACACCACAAACAATGATGGCGATAAACAGAAATGCGAAATGACTTACAGTTTTGCCGACACGCAGGTTGACAGGTGTTTTTTTCTTCAGTTTATCACGACGTTTCGTCACAAAATCGTAAAGACGTAGATGTTTAGGTGCAGTATATTGTTCAAACCTTCGTTTTCTATTCACTGCTGCCTGAGTGTACTTTTTCACAGCTCTACAATGAAAACATTGAAGATCTGAGAAAACTGGCATCTTATAAAATAGTTCCTTCAGAAAGCTAATGTAGTATCCTTCTATGTGAGAATATCAATTATTATTGAAATACTCCTAATTAAGAACAATATGCAGTGGCGTCAGAAGGATTTGCCAAGGGGAGGGGCGACTTTTGGGTATGGATGGGTCATAAGTGAAGCGCGTCGCAATCTAGGGGAATCGGGGATATCCCTCCAGAAAATGTTCCCTCTCTGTTGCATGCTGAACATATATCCGCCAATAATAGAAACAAGAAAAATGTGTTTTAGAAAGTAACTTGACTTTGACCCAGGGCTCTAGAGCTTCCAATTCTAGGCTCGTTTTCAAATCTAAATAATCTAGGGAAAAGGGGGGGGGGCGGTCGCCCCCCAACGCCCTCCCCCTTGTGACGCCAATAATATAATATGGTTGTAATACAAATGAGTGTCTGGAAAATACCATTGTACAGTTGGAAACAAAAATAAATGACAGGTCGATTTGTTATCACCATTTCCTAATCATGGTCGTCTGAAAGCCCATAATTTCCAATATTGTCTCGATACATATCCCTTAAAATTTGTATATTTTACATTTTGTATAATCTCATCCACTGATGTATGGCCTCTTGAAAATTCTCTTATTTTTAACATGGGAAATCCTCACTTCAGCAAATCCACCTGTCATTTATCTATGTTCCAAACTGTACCTCATTATGATTAAAATACTTATTTTCACTGAAAGACAATATTTTGGAAAAGAAGCATGCTAGACCTGATTCTGCCTTTAATTCTCTTATACTCACTTTTTCAATGGCCGTGTGCGGAACTTATTTCGTTCATATTGTATTCTATTCTCAATGAGTAGAACAGCGGGGGAGGGGTCAAGACACAGAGGCTCTGCTGTTGCTAAGATCATCTGGGATTCTAGTGCCATAACATCCTCTGGCAGCCATTTGTTCCCGTCGTTACTAATAATTGTGTTAATGTCACTTAGAATTGTCTGCAAGAACATATTGTAAAGTGTAAAGTATTGTCTACAATAACAAATTGTAAAGTGTTGTTTACAATGACATATTGTCTACAATCACATATTGTAAAGTATTGCCTACAATAACATATTGTAAAGTATTGCCTACAAGAACATGTTGTAAAGTATATAAGTGGTGTCATATGTATTATCTGATGTGTAGGTTTAAGAAGTACATAAGTGGTGTCATATGTATTACCTGATGTGTAGGTTTAAGAAGTACATAAGTGGTGTCTTATGTATTACCTGATGTGTAGGTTCTAGAAATACATAAGTGGTGTCATATGTATTACCTGATGTGTAGTTTTAGAAGTACATAAGTGGTGGCATATGTATTACCTGATGTGTAGGTTTAAGAAGTACATAAGTGGTGTCACATGTATTACCTGATGTGTAGGTTTAAGAAGTACATAAGTGGTGTCTTATGTATTACCTGATGTGTAGGTTTAAGAAGTACATAAGTGGTGTCATATGTATTACCTGATGTGTAGGTTTAAGAAGTACATAAGTGGTGTCATATGTATTACCTGATGTGTAGGTTTAAGAAGTACATAAGTGGTGTCATATGTATTACCTGATGTGTAGGTTTAAGAAGTACATAAGTGGTGTCATATGTATTACCTGATGTGTAGGTTTAAGAAGTACATAGGTGGTGTTATATGTATTACCTGATGTGTAGGTTTAAGAAGTACATAAGTGGTGTCATATGTATTACCTGATGTGTAGGTTTAAGAAGTACATAAGTGGTGTCATATGTATTACCTGATGTGTAGGTTTAAGAAGTACATAAGTGGTGTCATATGTATTACCTGATGTGTAGGTTTAAGAAGTACATAAGTGGTGTCATATGTATTACCTGATGTGTAGGTTTAAGAAGTACATAAGTGGTGTCATATGTATTACCTGATGTGTAGGTTGAAGAAGTACATAGGTGGTGTTATATGTATTACCTGATGTGTAGGTTTAAGAAGTACATAAGTGGTGTCATATGTATTACCTGATGTGTAGGTTTAAGAAGTACATAAGTGGTGTCATATGTATTATTGCACGTCCTCCTGTAGTCGCGGACTTCTACTATTACACATCCACTGTAGAATACACCAGCATTGGATTTGTCAAGCAGGTCAACCAAAATTGGAGGAAGCTATAAAATAGAGATTGAGTTGTTCTAAATGATAGAAAACTATGTTCTAAATCATTAAAACTGTTCATAAACTGATGACAATTGTGCGCAAAGATTTAACACTAATACTAACACATCCTACGGCCCTTGGGCAGATATAATATATTAGCCTTAGGATAATCCCCAATGACAATCTGACTCTAATAGTTCAGTATACATGTATTACTAGGTAGATGGAACAAAGTGAGTCAAAACTCTCTCTGTGGTAACATATTTAATGAACATATGCATAAATATATAGTAATACAAACTAACCTCTTCAGCATCTATGTATTCCAATAGTTCAGTTTCCTAAAACGAAAATATGGAGAACAGTTCATATTCTTTATCTCTATTATAGGAGGTCCAGAACCAGGATATATTTTATATGGCTTGCCAATTCAGACAGATTATAATGTGAATTACAATGGCACAACAGTAGCTATCACTTTCTTCTGGTCAAGCTTATTCCACTCTCCGTAAATTAACTCATTATTTTCAGACATTTCAATTTATTTTTATCAATCATTTATCTTAATATATAAGTAATAATATAAGTTAAACAATTCTTATAAGCAAAGGCTATAATTCACACATTGCTGAACCTCTTCTTCCTATTCTATGACATAACAGTGCCATAATAGCCATCTATTGAGGGTTATATGAACATACCTCATAAGGAAGACGTATAGTTTCAGTGTCTGTTCCATTCTTTCCCCGTAGCATGAGTGAGTAGCCATCATTCCCTGGGTAGAGGTTTAACATTAATGTGTTTAGTCTGTCTCTCTTCACAAGCTTATCTAGTAGATGAGTGGCGCATCTCAAATTCTAAAATAAGATTTAAAATATTGATGTGAATGTCCCTAAAGTAAACTGGCCAAAATGGGAACACCTCTAAAATAAGCAGGCTAAAATGTGAACACATTTTAGGTTTAAAGTTTGGATGTTCTTTGACCTCCATGTTATAAAAACTGGTGAACTTAATTTGAAGAGTTTACATGTTGTAAATCTAAATATCTTCTCCATCTGACAGAATATTTGTTATCTTTTATATATATTAGATGTTTAAGATGGTATGGAACAAATTGGATGGGTTATAATTTTGAAACAGTGTTCACTTTCTGTTATGAAAGATTATACTTTTAAGATCTGTTTGTTCTCAATACCTACCTTACATGGAAGTTCCTTCTTAGATTCTTCAACATAGAGTTCTATTAGCTTGTCATGGATTGATTTACTAGAAGTACAAAAGGAGTTAAACAAGATTAATATAAGATATCAACAGCAACTTGGAAGCCTGAACAAGTTGAGATTTTGAAAATCAATTTCTCCTTGGAACAGCTTTCTCCATAGCACAATTGGCCTCGCATATGGCCTTCATATTTTTCTAGTGAAATTCACTGGATTATCTTGTTGGGCATTTCTGTATACATTCTCAAACTTCTATATATTTTGATCAAATATCTCATTGATTTTTTCATACTTTAAATCTAGGATTGTTAGGTAAATACTGAAATGCTCATAAAAACATTGCTGCCAACATTTTACATTCTCTATCAATTCTAATTACCGGTACTTTAATGACTAATTCACTTACAACTTCAAGTTACTGTTATGATGAGGTTTCAACAACTTTTCTGGCTGCTGCTCTGCAGTCTCCAACAAATACTACAAACAAAATAATAATAAAAATTAGCTCCAGTGACATGTCTCAAATGGCAATTCTTCCACGTGGTAAGTTTTAAATGGCAAGCCTTGAATGACAAGTCTTGCATGACAAGTCTTAAAGGGCAGGCCTTGAATGGCAAGTCTTTCACGACAAGTCTTGAATGGCAAGCCTTGAATGGCAAGTCTTTCATGACAAATGGCAAGCCTTCGATGACAAGTCTTGAATGACAAGTCTTCAATGGCAAGTCTTCCATGACATGTCTTGGATGCCAAATCTTTCATGAGAATTCTCTGATAACAAGTCCTTAATGAAGTTTAGCAATATGATAAGTTATCATAAAAGTATATGTACCACTTCCATCATTAAGCCAAATTAATATGGTATATCTTTACTTCTATTTTATTCTACTCCCCTAAATAAAGACTATGTTACTTACATCCGCAAACTCCACAACTCTTTCGCTAAACATTGCTGGGCGATCTGAAAAATTTCAAAAAATTCAAAATTTATTTATTAATGAACATCAAAAGAGGCAACAGAGTCAAAGATGCGTGTTTAGGTGCGATGAGGACTGTAGAGGATTTCATAGAATTCCATTACCTTTTCTGCTCTACCAGATTATCCTTAAGTTATATCATTTGTTTGTTAAGAAATATGTTTATTGAAATCACCTCTTCTATCTCTGTTTGCCAAATCAAGTTTGAAGTTGAAAATTCAAAAAGGGGACGTCCATTTTTTCATTCTAAGATTCATTGTTCTGCAGGAAAGAGGTAGGATAAAACCACACCTACAGTATAACCACTCGCATGTCAATGCGTTGTTTGATAAACAAGTTGATGTTTTATTTGTGGTGACTGAAGTTAACCTAGAGTTTATTTCTCCAAACTCCGTAAAGTTACAAATCCTTAAGTCAATTGTTCTTTCTCAAACTTACGGAGATTGTGTATTTCCCTGACTAATTGATGAAGGAAAAATAAAAAACACAAAGACAAAAACACCATAAACCTTTCCAATATTCAAGTTTTGTTTGAAAGAACATTACAGTAGGTGTTAAAAGGGCTGGAATCTAATGTCAATTTCACAAAGAAATCGTTAAAAAGGTCAGTGGGAAATTTTCAATGTTGACGCCTGAGGCCTATAGCAATTATTTCCATTTTTTGGGAGAAAATTAAGGTAATTTGCTGGCTTTGTATAAACAACCTCATACCCACCAACCCACGTATATTGGACATGATACAGTCTTTGAAGGGTTCAATTTTAAAGATCTTAGTTTATTAAATCTTAGTTTATGATGAATTATAGATGCATTTGTAACGACCCTTGATGGCAAGTTGCTACTATAGCCCAGCTGGGCATCGAATTTAGCACACTTTCTTTCAATTTCTTTATCTGGCTGGTTGGACCTATGCTTGCGGTCGTTAGTTAATTATTCCCCTGGGGCACCCTCGGGTCATTACACATTACAATGCACCCGTATCACTGGCGGATCTGGGGGGGGGCTGGGGGCCTCCTGTGGTGGCCCTTGTAAGGTCTTATTTTTTAATTTCAGGCCAAGTTTTGAAGAAAATGGGCCTAAAAATTTCAAAATTTGGGCCCACTTTTGGAAGTTTTTTCTCTGACCTGAAATTTGGCCCCCCCCCCCTTGTTGGTTTCCAGATCCGCCCCTGCATATGCCTTTATTTAAGGATCTGTCAAGTGCCAATGGGGGAATGATTCGACGGGGCTTGCTACCACTGAACAGATACATGTACGTCTTTATCAGCCTTTATCGGTCTTTATCTGAGATTTGTTCTTCTCGTAAGCTAAAACTCTGAAAGGACACCCCATCAGAGCCAGGGTAATCCTTTTTAGACTGACAGAGTAAGTACACAGGGCAGGCAATTGCAGTTAGATTTGGAGAAGCCAAAATCAGATTCCACATTAGCTTAGCCTGAGTTGCACAGAAAGACAGAATAATTTTCAATGGGTTCAACTCGAATCGTCAATTTATGGGATTCGAACCATACCTTTCATAGAAATCGTACTATACCAACACTTCTTGTTTTAAATCTTAAATTCTTACCTCGTTTATATGCATATAAAGTCGAGAATATGCTGATAAATAGTCAAAATAGTGAAGACCCTGAAGTTTGGTTTTGTTTTGAACAGCAGTGACATCTGGTGAGCAGAATTTTTAGAAACAATTTTGAAAAAAATATTTGTAGTCGATTTATGAGTATTTAGGTAAGAATTATTGTGATAATCAAAGCAATATGATGCCATGTTGTTGATGATATACTTTTGTACTATTTTAACTTCTGGAAAATTTGAAATTCATGCCAAAAGAAGTGATATTTGACGTTCTTCATAAGTTTATTTTGAATACTCTATTATCGCCCAGGTTTTATTTACATTGGCAACACTTAGATCTACTTTTAATCTTTGGAGATACCTTATCTAGATCCAGTTCTACATAGAAGAGACTATCTTGATGACTTGAAATAAGATATAGTTTAATTACATCAGAGCCCATACAGGTGAGGCATGATTGGTATACTATAGATTACTTCACAGGAGTGCCAATTCACAGTCTACTGTCAGTAATGCAGTTTTATTTGGACTACATTGTATCTACTCCTTTCAACCCACTGTCCAAAATCAATCCTTCTAAGTCATCATACCCTCACATTTATTGAAATGAAACCTAACTGGCCATAGATCACTTCAATTGGCCATAAATTGAACATGGAGTTACAGAATCTATCATTCGTAATGACTATATGTGCTCCAAAGTGTCACCTTCACTTTCTCTATCAAATTACTCTGTAGATTATGTTGAAGTTCTTCCAATTAACCAGTACTATACCATTTAACGTCATGTGTCAACAAGATAAAAAAAAGCAGCCATTTATTTAGAGGGAATCTACATGTACCTACCATGTTCCTATATATATATATATTTTGCAGATATTCACAGATGGCCTTCAAAGATGACCATGTTAACTTTGACAAACTGGAGAGTGAAATCCACAAAGCTGTAGAGCAAGATGCAAGATATTCTAGAGAAAATGATGCAAAATTCCGTGCAGTGGGACAGCGTTGTGAAACTTATGAAGAATTTAGGTAGCAATTTTTCTCATCTGAATATCACTGTCAAAAAATGTTCAGTTTTAAAAGGTGAAATTTTCTCTTGCCCAAACAAGGAGCTATATTTGTGACTAAATTTTTGACCTCAACTTAGCCTGTTACTCTGTAAGGGGATGTACAGTAAAACCTATTTATATTGAACATAAAATTGCCAATAATAAATGTTTAGTGTTGGTAGGTGTTCACTTCAGAGGATAATTTATAAATAAGTCGAAAGAGTATGTGTGGATGAAGGGTGTCCAGTAGAGACAGGTGTTAACTAGAGAGAGGAGTTCACTAAGACAGTTTTTACTGTCCAATCGTGTATATATATCACATTCATTTCTTTTAATTTCATATGTGAGCCAATTATATTAATCATTAGAGATACTGGTGATCAAACCTGCAATAACAAGTGATATTTGAATTGTAGTGCTTACTCTTATCGATTCATTAACTGTTCTTTTACTCTGTGACACAGGGACATTGTTTTGGCTGCTCATCTGAAGCCTCTAGAGAAGGGAGACAAGATCACACCTGGTGATCGATTCACTCAACCATGGAACATACATGCTGACAGGAATACTGATGCATTGGGTTCATCTGGTACCTTAGAACAAAAGGTGGGTTTTAAAATGCTCTTTATACTATATGACAAGACTTGTATGTTGATATCAGACCGAAAAAGTTGTCCCACCTTAAAAACTTTGCATTTGAGGAGTGTGTCTCCTTTCAGCCATTTTGATGCAATTTTTATAGGGTCACATGTAACTTTTCAAATATGACCTCCTCCTTCCCCACATTGTCTTCTTCTTTCAGTTTTGCCTTTAATAGAAAAAATGATTGATTAATTTAAGAAAAGGGAAAGGTTGGATTTTATAATGATCATGTCATACATAACTGTACAGTGGGAGTGGGATATGCCATCTGCAGATTCTTTAAAAGAAATATAAATTTCTGAATCATAGGTTAATAGAATTATTAAATAAATTTTTCAGAAGTGGACCAAAATTCCTGAAAATGCTCACAAATTCACTCAGGATTGGAGGAGATACTGCACAAGCAAACAGGACAAATATTCCTTTCTAATGTGGATAGGACCAGAAAAACTAGGACATATCTTCAATATGGAAGTCAGTTTATTAGGTGATTTCTTTGAAGCACTGTTAGAGTACAATATGACAGATTTACACCAAGTTGTCGACACATTGGTGGTATTTTCGCAAGCTAAAAGATTTGGATTATCAGTGACATTCCTTGGAAGCGGAGAGAAAGAAAACTGTAAAAAAATATTCGAGAAACTACAAACTGATCTGGAATCTGAAGGTGATTCTGAATATTTGGAAAAAATAACAAAAGCAAAGTCAAAATATGAACTAAAGTGATGGAGATTTGGTGTGTTTTTGGGAAGAGTTGGAGGAAGTGGGTGATAACAATAGCTTACCCATGTGAGCTAAAAAGAACCTTGCATTTATTTCACAGAACATTTCAATTACTCCCAGAAAACACTTGAAAAGCTATGGCAGCTACTTTTAGGATAATTCAAATCTTATCAGCAATTTGAAACTTTCAGTTGTCTATCATAGCCAGAGTGAGTTATTCCAACTTGCCTATTGAATTCAGGGTAAACAAAGGGCACAAATTCATATGTATCATCTCAAATGCAAGAGATAAAGTTAATGAAATAAAAACAGAATTGTTGTATTACTTGATTTATTACATCGCTCATATTGAGGTATACAGGAAACAAAGATGTAGTAAAGCAAGGTTTTTACAAATATCACAACAATATTTTCATACAATCAAAATAAACAAATGCATCGAGTATAAAATGATGTGATCTGAAAAAAAGATATAGACCAATAAACCATACCACCTTTACCTTCTTTTTTTTTTTATTCTTCTTTATTCAATTTTAGTACATACAAATTACACATGTAATGACTGCCGAAGTTGAAAAACATTGGTGGCAGTTTTTATTTAACAAACATAGTAAAATTATAAAAAACAAAAAAAACTAAAGGGTGGTGTCAGGTTTTCTTTTACCTTTTGGTGAATCAAAGGATCAATTTGTCCTATCAAAATAGAATAAACTTAGGCATACTACATAATTGCTAATTTTGAAGTACAACCAATGATAACATCACCATCTAGACAATATATCATAGCTTCTTTGATTTACTAAAAGGTGACAGGCTTTATTGGAAAAGTTTGTTGAATTAAGAATATTTGGCAAAATAGGTGGTACTTGCATGGTGACTCCTCTTCCCTCTTGAAAGATAAGAGATTCTACTACAGTACTACAGTATTACAAAATATCAAAAATAAACTACGAACTCTGAAAATCCCTCTCGCAAAGGGACAATTTTATGTATCCAATTCATATGGATGCAAATAGACATAATTTAATCGTTGCATTATAAGTTTTGACAACGTTCATTGCAAGGGTGGTAAAGCTCAATCAATTTTCTAAAATAATCCACCCCATTCAATGGCTAAAGCAATTTGCAGAAACTTAGTTGGAAGCCAGTTCTGACAAAAAATACAAAGTCAGAAATGGCGCAGACATCTTAAATGATGTTTTTGTGAAGCATTCCACTTATGGAGGTTTTCCATTTCCAGAGATGTTCCATTTCCAGAGATATTCCATTTTACAAGTTTAAAACAGATCCTCACAGTTATATTAAAATCGTGACAGTCAAAGCATTACTGTGAAACACTTTAAATCTGCGGCACGTACCAACAAATCACCAGGAAATTGAAGCTTGTCACACAATTACAAAGTATCACTTCTCAGGTATCCATTTTCATTACAAGAGGACGCTTCCCAAGTGCCTCAGTTATGCACTATTCAGTTAACCAGCATGCACCTTGGTCACACATCATAGGCACTGTTAAGTACATCCAATAGTTGCACTTCTGTACAATCTATATTTACTAGACTGCCATGCTTCTCTTGTTCAAATGTATCACATTGTTCTAATAAACTTGCAGACACATGAACCCGTTGCTGAATCTATCAATTTGCTTGCAATTGCACAATGCCTTTTCCTTTATCTTGTATATCTTGTTTCGTGAATTACACAGAATCTGACTTGTTAAACTGAGCTTTCAATCGAGGATAATTTTTGCAGGTTTTCCATCTGCTTGAAGCTGATTGGTGCCATGTATGACATCATAGTCCCGCCTAAGAAAGGCAAACAATAGATCTGTCATCAGGAATATCTGAAACAAAGAAAAATTTTCTATTTAATATATTTGGAGAGGTACTTGTATCAGCTTTAAGGCCAAGGAAAATAGAATTTGGTTTTGTTCATTAGTATTCAATTCTGGACAATTATAAGGCTGATACAGTTGATTTTAAGTGACACTTCTGATTTACTCTGGGACCAACCAGTGACCAGTACTTTGTTTATCCTAATTAATATGGGCAAGACACAAAAATTTAAATAACATGATTTAAATGGTAACCTGACCCATCCAGTCCCACACTCAGGTGGAATTTTTCAATATACAATGTCATATATTTGGTTTCACTCAATAAACATCATCATTAAATAACTTGAATAACTTACTTGAGCTGTAGAGTAGACTAAAGTGATTGCAAAATAGAAATTGGCATTTGCACTGCCTGCGTAGATCCAGAGATGCCACAATATAGGTGCAACCACTGAACACACTATGTACATCACAGTTACGACAAATGTGTTGCGCATATCTGAAAAACAATAATGGTAAATTAACAATAATATAGACCAATTGCAACATCATTTTATGATTAATACATCCAAATAAAGACTAGCCAAGACTGAAGTAAGTGGCTCTGTGGCAAAAAATGACTGCTTACTTAACAAAATGTCATTGAAAGTGTTATATGCTTCTTAGTGTTCTTATATTAAATTTAATAAAAATAACTCCATTAATTTTCCAGTATAGCAAAAAATAACACATATTAAAATTGCCGCTATTTTTCAAAATGGCTGGTCACACACCAAATTGTCATATTAAAAGTATTGAAAAGCGTTAATTTGAATTGTAGACCTTCCAGATGTTTGAAAATCAAGGATTGTGGGTCTCATACTGAGAAGTGTTAAGATAAGAGAGGTGTTCAGATATACAGGTTTCAGTGTAATAGGTCCTTAAATAAGCTAAGAATTAAATCAGCTCATGATATAAAAAATGACCTATCACTCTACACTCACAACTCTAATAGATTGGTTGTTACTGTAGAGATTATTTTGAGAGTTACAGTTCATAAAAAAATAAAATATTTACCTAGCATATCTTTTCTTCATTTTTTTCAATTTAAATGCACGTAAAGAATTACAATGTCAATCATGTTATAGGATGTACTTTCACTAGTAAATTATTTCTACATTTGACTCAAATCTTCAATAAAAGTTACAATACTCACAGGCTGGTATCGAAATATTTGTCCGCTATGACAAAGCATGCTATTTTTCATAAAAACACTAAGAATACTTCACGATTTATTTTTTAACTCATATGTTTCATTATATCATACAAAATTACTTACTCCATGCAATGGATATATCATTTGCGGGTATTTTTCACTTCTGTTTGAAGTCCAATTACGCTGGGAAGAAAAGCTATTGAAAATGGCGCCAGAGTATCATACTTCAAAATGTACCATTTCACGATATAGTGACACGATAATATTTACACATGGTTTCAGCATAACTATGAAGGTATAAATGAGATGATGATGTATTTGGTCTTTTTAATTCTTTTATAAAAAATAATGTTTAATTTTATTGTCCGCTGTGACGGAGCAGTTGCAAATGTGAACTGTGAAAATGCTCAGTCACAGCGGACAAAAAATATTAATATTATTTTTTATAAAAAAATTAAAAAGACCCAATGCATTAATATCTCATTAATACATTCAGAGTTATGCTGAAAACATATGATAATATTATCATGTCACTATATCATGCCATTAAAAAGTTAAAAAAGAAATGGTACATTTTAGAGTTTGATACTCTGGCGTCGTTTTCAATAGATTTTACTCCTAGCGTTAATGGACTTCAAACAGAAGTGAAGGTTACACGCAAATGATATATCCATTGCATGGAGCAAGTAATTATCTTTGATATAACGAAACATATGAGTTAAAAAATAAATCGTGAAGCATTCTTAGTGTTTTTATGAAAAATAGCATGCTCCGTCACAGCGGACAAATCTTTCGATACCAGCCTGTGATACTTTTATTTGTGAATATGTATGCTTAAGTGCCAAGGGAAAATAATAAAAAAAATAATAAAAAAGGTTTAAAAACAGAGCATGAAAATGAAACATCTAAGAATACAACAAAAAATATTTAATTTCCTTTGCCTATCTGCTTACATGCTTAAATGCGGTGTGTCTATTTATTTTGTTTGAGGATCAAAGAAAATGTGAGTTTATAAATTATGACAAGGTCAAGATTTGTGCAAGAAACTACTTGAAAATTGCAAATGTCATTTCTATTGTTCAGTGCCACTTTAAAGAGGGTTGAGATAGTACATTACAACAATATGATATGAAAATCAAGAAAATACAATTTATTATAATGGTATATTCTGATATTAGAAACATCAATGAGGATAAGTCAGTTGGTTAATAAATAATTTGGATAAGTTTTAAAATATATATCGGGTGTCCCCAAAAAAACCATCACACTTTTTGACAATAGTGTTTTCTCAACAATCAATTAATCAAATTTATTGAAGATTTCCATAAAGTAGCCTAAGGATAGGATTAACAAGGTGTACAAAATTATAAACAAGGCATGGACGTGAACGAGATCACACCATCAAATAGGCAGACACTATGAACCAGGAAAACTGTTCTCCTATTATGTTTACAAATTTCAAGAACAAGAAAACAAGATGGCCGCCCAAAAGTTAATCAGCTCTAGTACTTGATATCCTCTATCATTTGTGTAAATTTGAAGGAAATCAGATGAGCGGTTTTCCTGAAATGGCGATGACAAGATTTTTCGGAAAAACCTTCAAAATGGCCACCAGAAAACAAGATGGCTGCCCAAAAGTTAATCAGCTCTAGTACTTGATATCCTCTATCATTTGTGTAAATTTGAAGGAAAACAAGATGGCCACCCAAAAGTTAATCAGCTCTAGTACTTGATATCCTCTATCATTTGTGTAAATTTGAAGGAAATCCGATGAGCGGTTTTCCTGAAATGGCGATGACAAAATTTTTCAAAAACCTTCAATGGCCACCAGAAAACAAGATGGTTTTCCCAAAAGTTAATCAGCTCTAGTACTTGATATCCTCTATCATTTGTGTAAATTTGAAGGAAATCCGATGAGCGGAATTTTCTGATATGGCGATGACAAGACTTTTCGAAAAACCTTCAAAATGGCCACCAGAAAACAAGATGGCCGCCCAAAAGTCAATCAGCTCTAGTACTTGATATCCTCTATCATGTGTGTAGTAAATTTGAAGGAAATCCGATGAGCAGATTTTCTGAAATGGCGATGATTAAAATCTTCAAAATGGCTGCCAGAAAACAAGATGGCCGCCCAAAAGTTAATCAGCTCTAGTACTTGATATCCTCTATCATTTGTGTAAATTTGAAGGAAATCCAATGAGCGGTTTTCCTGAAATGGCGATGACAAGATTTTTCGAAAAATCTTCAAAATGGCCGCCAGAAAACAAGATGGCCACCCAAAAGTTAATCAGCTCTAGTACTTCATATGCTCTATCATCTCTGCGAATTTGGAGAAAATCTGATGAGCAGTTTTCCTTAAACGGCGATGACAAAAAGCGGGACGATCACGATCACAACCACGATCACGACCATGATCAAGATCACGACCACGATCACGACCACGACCACGACCACGACCAGTATGACGACTATTTCCCACCGATGGTGTGATAGAAAGATTGATTGCATATTATGTGAGAACTGACTAATTCAAAATTGCATGTCAAGCATCCAATATCAGAGCTGCGCAATGACACCTTTATAGTGTTTGTGTCTGCTATCAGGTGATAGAATCTGTCAATTAGCCTCAAAAACAGCCTGTCTGTGTGTCAGGTTTCATTATACTCTGTTTCTAAAATACATTCTTGTTTTTTGGGACACCCCATATATGAATCAAACTGTTGAAAATATTAATTTAGCTTGTAACACTCATATCTATCTGTATCTGGCTGATTGAATTTGTTTTGTCTAATGCTTCATTGCTGATGAATGGTTCTCTCAGTTCCACTGAACCATTTCTTATATACTCCTTATCTAAATTATTGTATTCAGGAGTCCCAAACACCTCTGCTTCTTCAAATGTTTCTGGTAAATGGCAGCCTTTGGTTTCTGGGAGGAAATATGCCATGATGCCCGAAGCAATAGGAAATATGCAAAGCATCACGTATGGCAGGCCAAACCATATCTTCTTCAACAGTGTGAGTTGTGTGGCTATCAAGGCTGCGATTCGACCAATGCTCGAGGCGCTCCCAAAGCCAATAGTCCTGGCTGGTGTGGGATATATTTCTCCAGTGTATAAGAAAAGAATCTGCGTCATAGTCTTCACTGCTGACATTGCTATCATGGCTGTAATTGTCATCAAAAACTGCACGTTTACCATTATAAGGGGAATCATCAGTAAACACGATAATCCAGTTATCAAATTGTAGATAATCAATGCAAGTCTTCTTCCAGTTTTGAACAAGGCAAACCACATCGCTAACAATGAAGGTAGCTCTGAACCAGCGGTTACAATTGCCATATTTAGATATATGTTTCCGGGAACTAGTTTTCCAATGTTTGTAGTAAACGCATACAAAACCAAGTTAAAGTTGAACCATATAAACCACAAAATCAGCGTGCGTATTCTGAGACGTGGTGTTCTAAGTAAATTCCAAAAAGACACTCCCTCTATTGCCTGATTTTTCTGGTCTTCTGATAGCCCTTCTTCTGGAACCATCTCATTGGAAAACTCAGCACTATTTATTTTAGCGATCATACGTACTACTGTAGCATATTCTTTATACCGTTTGCGAGAGAGAAGCCATCTTGGACTTTCGGGTAAGAGTATGGCACAAATCAGTCCAGGTACTGCCACAACTGCGGACACTATCTGTAAGTGAACGTGATTTCGAAGGAAATATGCAGTAACAGGTAGAATAAAACCAAGAATACTGCCAACTTGACAGAAACATGTACAGTGATTTCTGTAAACAGGAGACATGCCTTCTATGACAAGAATCCAAAAGGCCGAGTTTGCTCCCATATTACTAATTCCAACGAAAAATCGAAATCCAACCAATAGCCAGAAATATGGTGAAAATGCTTCTCCTAAGTTGCACACCATTTGGCAGATTATCATAATCACCGCAGTCGGTTTTCTACCCCATCTGTCAGATATGTATCCTGCGAGAATGGATCCAAACAGTAAGCCTAGGACATAGGCCATTGCCGGAATGGTTTGTAACCATGCTCTATCACAAACTGTATTGTACTTGCTTACAATGGTAGTATAAAACTCAGTCTTGTCATATTCCCAACCATATTTACATGGTACCCTTGTCCAATTAGTAGATGATATGAGGTTGGCCAGATCCCCCTCTAGTGCAGCTTGTTCTGTGATATTGATATCATACACTTCACATTTCCTATAGGTTATCTTACCAAACTCATCAACAGTTTTTGGAATAACTAACGCCTTGAGATAACTTTTATTCACTCCATTCACGTCCAATTTACACCAATGATCCATGTCACCAGCAAGAAAACTAAGACAGGTAGACTGCCAAGAGCATGCTGGAAAAAATATGATGTAGCTAAATATAAGGAGCTTCTGGTATCTTCCAAATCCTCCAATCTTCAATAAAGTTTCATCAAACTTCATGACTTTTGTGTTGCTGTTCCTATATTATAAGAACTTTAAATTTCCATATTGTGTATGTATATCTGTAATCAGATATATTGTAATAAGTCCTGACTGTAAAGAACAGATAGTACAGTCTACTTTCAGATTCAATTATATTTTAAGTGCCTGTCAAATCTTTGAACTCTTGTCGCAAAGCTATGTTACACAAACAAGTGTAAGACATGTTAATAGCTAGATTTTGACCTTAGAGAAATGGGGTCAACTATACTTACCTTCAACTTTACTAGAGTAGTCTGGGATGCTATTGAAATGGGATCCATAAATCTTTTTTAAACTATGACTCAAAAAGTTGTTTTTGAGTATTTTTTATTCATAAAAATATATTATTTAAAATAAAATTCAACTTGTCACAAACATCCTGTTAACTAAATTGGCAATTCCACAGAGTACCAAATCCCAATGTAAAAATATTCACGAATCTGTATGTCGTAATGTTATTTATCCCACGATTAATGTGTTATCTGTACAATAACAGCTACTGATATTTCTGATATTATTGAAATCCGTGTGATATTTTCCAGAAAATCGTTTATCAAACTCATATGCGTGTGATATCGTTTATCTCACGCATATCCGTGTGATATCACATTTGCATTTTGCGCCACAATATTGTTGGAAATTAGGTCAGATAATTTATTCTCTTTTGAGAAAATAGGTCCGTTAATTTATTCTCTTTAAGTTTCATTGGTGTATTGAATTACAATTGTGTATATAATTTGATTAGAAGGCTGCTAACTAACGATTAAAAAATGGTATTTATGAAGAACTATATCATGTTATTTACTTTTAATTGTTAAAATAAAGTGTTTCAAATATTCAATTGAGATTCTAATTGCCTTTCATTTGAGTACAATAAAGCTACACTTCAGAAAAATCTAAATTAACAAGTTCCTGTTTTCCCGACCCCCCATAAATGGCCCCTGAGGTTCAGGGTAAACACACGGAATATCTCTGAAATGTAGATATATGTTGTGAACATGCTACCAAAATTTCATAAAGTAACATTTATTACTTTGGTTGATAATGAAAAACTTTGATTTTCATGAAAAATTCCTGCCAATTTTAAAGTGACAGCCATTTTGACAATCCATCTACTAGATTAGTATTTGAGTAATCTTTCGGACAGACAGACAGATAGACTATCTGATGGACGGACTGACGGATGGAGGGCTTCACTATATCCCTAACAAACTTTGAACTAAATAAATTTAGTTTGCAAATTCAATTTAATATTTTACAAATATTTGATGTTGTTATAAACTTTTATACTTATTCTTACATTCACTACTCCATAGTAGATTACTACAATCATATATAAACATTCATGGCAAAGGGATTTTTCATATTACAGTATAAAACATGTATATTCAAACGAACACCTCTCTTATCATATTACAGTATAAAACATGTATATTCAAACAAACACCTCTCTTATCATATTACAGTATAAAACATGTATATTCAAACGAACACCTCTCTTATCATATTACAGTCAGTGCTTGAGCTAAGCTCCATTTTTCTGCTGGTCATACGGACTGCCAATTTTAATGTATCAGGTGGTCCGTAAAAAAACTTGCTGGTCAAATGACCAGCACTTTTCAAAAAGTTACTGGTCCGTATAAAATTGAACAGGTCATACATATATTTTACTGTTAATCAAAATAAAAGAATAAAAACGTGAATTTTAATCTACTCTTATATTATAGCACCTTTCTACATATTCATATATTCATATTGACTAGATCTAAAGATCTGCTGTGACTTTCATTAGATCCATTTCATCTTCTGAGTATGAATCACTGTCCGAGTCTGACTCATAATCGGAATGATCAGAGTTACATGTATTATTGTTTTTATCAAGTATAGGCAAAGTTTTAGTGTTGTTTTTGTCACGTTTTTGAGCAAAATTAAAAATATCAAAAATTTTGGGCATTTTTGATACTTCCGGTATTTCGGCCAATCAAATTCCTGGAGACATATACCCTAGCTGTTTCCTCGAGAAACTGATTTTAGACCAATCAAAATCTTCGAATTATATCATGTTAAATTACTCGCTTTAGCGAAAACGGAGAGGAAACTAAAAATGAAATTTCGTAAACTTTTTCATCAAATTGATGATTCAGAATCATTGTATTCAAGGTAAGCAAATTGTACTTAAAGAAGCTACTTCGTTTTTGTGCCGGACATTCATAAGTTGGGGTAATCTGAGATATGGTGTCCATGCCGGTCAAATTGACCATCAGTTTTTAAACTCAGCTGGTCCGTTCTATGAATCTGTCGGTCATGACCGACGGACCGACGCTTAGCTCAAGCACTGATTACAGTATAAAACATGTATATTCAAACAAACACCTCTCTTATCATATTACAGTACAAAACATGTATATTCAAACGAACACCTCTCTTATCAAAACACCTGTCAAAGTGAACACTTTTTCTTGGGTATCATTGACTCGCATATTAAGAAACCTTTAAATGTGAACACTTGCTTATGTAAATACACACAATGGTGTTCAGTTTAGACAGGCTTTACTGCATATTAATTGTACATACTTACATTTATAAGTGTGTGCCCATACTGGAAGTAGAGCTATGTATATTATTGTGTCAGCGTATGAGGGGTAGGACTTGAACACGGCTATTATTGGGAGCAGAATATATAGGAAAAATACTGGATGTTTCCTGGAAATGTAAAAATGAAAATAATGTATTTATATTGTTATTGTAATGTCCTGAGGCCGCCCAAGGGGAATGACTAACTAACTAGCATAATGTAACTAGCCAGATAAAGAGATTGAAACAAAGTGTGCTTAATCCAATGCCCTGTGTGGGAATCGAACCAGGGACCCTTGGATCCAAAGTCTGATGCTCTACTGACTGAGCTATAAAGGTTTAAGCAATTACAGCTGGGCTGAAGTAGCAACTTGGTATCAAGGGTCATTACAATATGACCAAAAGATGAGTTAAAAGAGCAACCATTAATTTAAACAGTTATTCATTTTTTATGAATCAATCCAAGGGCTACAATCCCAGTTCTCTAATTTCTCTCAAAATATTAATGACAAACATTGAAAAGCAAAAAATGGGACATTTTTGCGTGGTTGAAACAAGAATTGCATTTTTTTTTATTTGTTTTATTTATTTTTTTTTTATTCTTTAATACTAGAACTAATCTGAGAATTATGTAATGAAAATTATCATACAGTAGTTAATAAAGGCATCCTAAAAAAAACCTGTTTTCACCAAAAAGGCTAAATGATTGAGTTGAATACATACTGTAGTCTAATAGCTAGAGGTACTGTATAAAGGAATGCATTGATCTGGAAAACACAGATGAAGAAGAGGCGGAAATGTTCAAACATCTCTGTGAAGAAGTACCAAAACACCCCAATATTTGGTGTCAAGTCTGGGACTGTTAATCTGAAAAATAGTAATAAAAAAATATTCTATTTTTGCAGATAATGTAATGAGAGTTTTCATGTAGATATTAAATTATCATATCTAAATGGAATCATTGATCAATATATATCTTTCCAACCAATATTAAGCATTTGTATTCCCTGAACAGAGCCACGGTGATGTATGTATTTATAGATGGAGGAATCCTCTATTTACCCCTAAAATCAAGGCTCATGCTAGAATAGATTTCTTTAACCTCTTGAATACCCAGAATGACGGATATATCTGTCACAAATAAAATCCATTTGGAACCCAGAACGACGGATATATCTGTCACAGAATTTTCCACTAAAACTGTTCTAACTTTGGCATTTTTTACCCAATCTTCACAAATTATGTATTAGAATGTATGTAATAGGTCTATGTTTACTGGTCTCATGAAATCAAATATCAATCATTGTGTTTTTAGATGGAAATATCCAGAAAACTAGCAGAAAATGAAAAATGCTCTGGTTTCAAACCCTTTTTAGAGGCTGGTTTTCAAGAGGTTAATATTTTGATGTCAGTTTATTTCAATTTTAAACCATTACTACATAATATAAAATACTAAAATAAGCGTGTGATTATCATTTTTTCAAAAATAATCTTTACAAAGATCCAAAACATCAATAGAAGTAATATATATATTCATTTGAATACTATCTCAATGTATACTCACATAAAACCATAAGTGCTACGTATAAACGCCCAGCTGGAGCGTTCAAGATAATGAGACAGGAAGGGAAGAGCTGCCAACCAGATCACAAATATATACGCAGTCTTCATGTATGACACAACAGGGCTCTTTTTATCATTGCCCTTTGTGTTGCTGTCTTTCTGAAGTTTCAATTTAGTAAAATTATTTTAAATATTTTAATTGGTATTTTCTATATCATCTGTATTCTGTCTCTAATACAACTGTAAAACCAGAAATGTTATCGTCAAAGCATTATTATTTTATCTTGTTCTGTTCAAAACTGTCAAACCTATTGCAGGTCAGAAAGAGATGAGGGACCATTGACTTGACTTAAGGGTAGAAACTCTTAGCTACCAATGGTAATGGTATTTATTCAACACATTTTTTTCAACATAGTGTATTCACAATATAGGGGAGGGTTATTGAAAAGCTTTGTGATTGATTTAATGTTTATGCATCAACTCCCAGTGAATTCTCTTCACAAACACATGTAGAAGAAAACAGAGAGAACGTGATAAGGGTGGCAGAGGAATAACACAAGATTATAATGCTTACTTGAGCAAATAACATGGCTGCTGGTACTACTAACATGATTGGGTAGAGTGTCTGATAGGCTGATGCTGCTATAAACAGTGTTGCCATGCTTCTCTTTCCTGAAAGAAAATAATGAGAATGTATTTCAGGGGTTTCATTAGCAGCAGGCAACAGGCGATTTTCACTGGGGTTGTTTTTACAAAATTGCCTGTTGTTTTAGGGACTTTTCAACCTAGCCCTGTTAAATTTACGATTTCCACTTATTTTGCCTGTTGTGAGAAATTCTAGTGAAACCCCTGTATTTATTGCTTTGACATTTACCCATCTGCTTGTGTCATTGATATATACATATATGGTCAAATATGCCAAAAATTCATCCTATTTTTCAGAGGTTATATAGGTGCAAATCTATTTACATAATCTCAATTGAATGCCGATTCGCTCACATACTTAAATATTATTTTGTAGTACCCACTCCAAAAATCTAAATTGATATTTTTATCAAATATTACAGACCTTTCACGGTGAAGAGAAGAGCTGTGGCTAACAGAAGATTGTCAAACACAGATGTTGACTTGGCTAAACATGTTGCTATGGTATATGGATTAAACAGATACCTGAAACACAGATACAGACTTGGCTAAACATGTTGCTATGGTGTTTGGATTAAACAGATACCTGAAACACAGATACAGACTTGGCTAAACATGTCGCTATTATAGTGAATGGGTTAAACAGATATCTGAAACACAGATGTAGACTTGGCTAAACATGTTGCTATTGTGTATGGATTAAACAGATATCAGAAACAGATATGTTGACTTGGCTAAACATGTCGCTATGGTGAATGGGTTAAACAGATACCTGAAACACAGAAGTAGACTTGGCTAAACATGTTGCTATGGTATATGGATTAAACAGATACCCGAAGCACAGATGTAGACTTGGCTAAACATGTTGCTATGATGTATGGATTAAACAGATACCCGAAGCACATATGTAGACTTGGCTAAACATGTTGCTATGTTATGGGATTAAACAGATACCCGAAGCACAGATGTAGACTTGGCTAAACATGTTGCTATGATGTATGGATTAAACAAATACCCGAAGCACATATGTAGACTTGGCTAAACATGTTGCTATGTTATGGGATTAAACAGATACCCGAAGCACAGATGCAGACTTGGCTAAACATGCTACTATGGTGTATTGGTTACACTGATACCTGAAAACGGATGGTGACTTGGTTCATTACTTTGTTATATTTTTTTGAAAAAAAGGATATTTGGAATCAGTGGTCGATTCATTGTGGAATGCCCCTTTATAATGAAATCTGGGTTCACCCTTAACATGGTTAGAATAAGTTTAACAAAATAATGACACACTGATACCTGGTCTAGCCCTTTATAAAGCATATACTGTAGATATCTATTATGATATTGAATATTACATTATTTGGATTCTTTCTATTTAAGTTAATTCAGTTATCATATTGAAACCATTTTTGAAGCATTTTGGATCTTGAGAGAGAATCAGAGACAGTAAACATTTAAAGAATGTGCATTTGAGCATTAAAACTTGTTGCCTCTTGTCAAATTGGCTGATGAAACAACGTTTTTTGGAGTTGTCAAGTTGCTTCAGTAGTCTAGAGCACTGAACACACTCAGCTCTTGAGTTCGATACATGTGAGCTCCTTGCATTTATTCATTTAACACAGATACTAGTTCTGCAAAAAATTCTGCAAGAAAAAAAGCAAATTCTGCAAGGAGAAAATCGAAATTCTGCACAAATTTTCAAAAAAAGTCCAAATTCTGCAATCTTTTAAAACGATGAAAATTGACGTAGCAAGGGATTTAACGGAAACGGAAGTCAGCTACTTTCTAGGTAAGAACTATGCGTCATTAGCGAACTCGCTTTAGCGCATTTAAACGTGATAGAATGTTGAATTTCACGGTGAAATCGTACTTGTACTTGTACTCAATAATGATTGATTGTTGGACATAAACAGACACTCTTCAAATACCCCGCAAAGGTAGGAGGTCGTAAAATATGTAATTTCTGGAAATTCTGGTAATTCCGCGGGATTTTCATGAAAATCAGGGATTCTGCAAAAAATTGAAGTTTTGTCAAATTCCGTCCACGCCGCGGAATTACGGAATACTAGTATCTATGATTTAACATTTTTTCTAGATATCCATTTCTGTTATATTAATAACTGAGTTACTTCAGCCATATTCTAAAGAATACTTACGCAACAGCTACAATAAGGCCAGTGAGTCTAAAATCTTTGGTTTGTAGTTTTAATTCTGATTCTTTCTGTGGCTGGTTATGCATCTGCAAATACAAGACATTCAATTCAAAACAATAAGAATAAATAATGAATTAAGCACTGGTGCTTTACCAAGCTTTCCAAAACACTGATGAAAATGTCCTAATTGTTCAAGATTTCTTTTTAATATTCAACTGGGTGTATTGCAACTATTTGACTATGTACTTTTTGCTAAACATTACTCACTGTAGTTGATTATAACACTACTCACAATGTATTTGTTGTTAAACACTACTCACTATGTACTCATTGTTAAACAATACTCACTTTATATAAGTTTAATAATACTCACAATGTAAAAACACTACTCACTATACTCTAAAAACCTTGGTGTCTGACGATCAAAAAATCCATTTATTCTCTCATTTGGCCTTATTCTTAAGTTTTCCCTCCATATATAATAAGTTTGGCCGATGCCATTTCTAGCGCCACCTACCTTTTGTCAGTTCATCACAGGAAATTGAATAGAAATCCCCTTCTCTCATATCACGCAAATCATTTCTCCCTCGCATTCGTCTCAAATTCCAACATGGAAGAGATTCTAAGAAAATTACGTCATTGACGTCATTTAGAACAGAATGGTTTCCCCCAAGTGGGAGGAGATTCCATGAATTTTGTCAAGAGTTTGAACTTCTATGAACTCTGACGTCATTAAGACAGAGGGCAAGAGAAAATTTTCTGAAGGAAATGACTGAGTTTCTTACAGCATTTGGATCAAATTTCGAGTATCACTATTTCTGACTATGGAATAGACCCGCATTTGTCTTCAAAAAATAAGGCAAGTACAAATGAGTAAGTAGACCAAATGATTCAATTGAGGCATTTAAACTTTTCTTAAAAATTGATTTGTAGTTAAATGGTACTCACTAAGTATTTGATTAATAACACTCACCATCTAATAGCAGTTAAACACTACTCATTTCATTCTTATAGTTAAATGGTACTCACTAAGTATTTGATTAATAACACTCACCATGTAATAACAGTTAAACACTACTCATTTCATTCTTATAGTTAAATGGTACTCACTAAGTATTTGATTAAAAACACTCACCGTGTAATAGCAGTTAAACACTACTCATTTCATTCTTATAGTTAAATGGTACTCACTAAGTATTTGATTAATAACACTCACCATGTAATAACAGTTAAACACTACTCATTTCATTCTTATAGTTAAATGGTACTCACTAAGTATTTGATTAATAACACTCACCGTGTAATAGCAGTTAAACACTACTCATTTCATTCTTATAGTTAAATGGTACTCACTAAGTATTTGATTAATAACACTCACCATGTAATAACAGTTAAACACTACTCATTTCATTCTTATAGTTAAATGGTACTCACTAAGTATTTGATTAATAACACTCACCGTGTAATAGCAGTTAAACACTACTCATTTCATTCTTATAGTTAAACGGTACTCACTATGTATTTTATTAATAACACTCACCATGTAATAGTAGTTAAACACTACTCATTTCATGCTTATAGTTAAACGATACTCACTATATACTTGATGAGAGCTCTGGCAGTTGCATGCAGCACTACAGCAGTGAGAATGTCACATGAGATAAAAGGAATGTGGATGGACTTCTCTCCAAATGTTGAACTCAACCTCTCCAGAAATCTCATCATGAGAGGAGTCTATAATCAAATCAAAGGTGTCTATTAATCATAATGTTTATGGGTCTAGGATTTTGATTAGGGCTGATGTGATGTTTATGTGTCCAGGGCTAACAGAATTTGCCAGACAAGTTGGTTACTATTTTATTTTAACCTATTGATAGGGCTGTTGTTGTGATGTTTATGTGTCTAAGGCTAATGGAATTTGCCAGACAAGTTGGTTACTATTTTATTTTAACCTATTAATAGGGCTGTTGTTGTGATGTTTATGTGTCTAGGGCTAACAGAATTTGCCAGACAAGTTGGTTACTATTTTATTTTAACCTATTGATAGGGCTGTTGTTGAGGTGTTTATGTGTCTAGGGCTAATGGAATTTGCCAGGCAAGTTGGCTACTATTTTATTTTAACCTATTGATAGGGCTGTTGTTGTGATATTTATGTGTCTAGGGCTATCAGGATTTGCCAGACAAGTTGGTTACTATTTTACTTTAACCTATTGATAGGGCTGTTGTTGTGATATTTATGTGTCTAGGGCTATCAGGATTTGCCAGACAAGTTGGTTACTATTTTACTTTAACCTATTGATAGGGCTGTTGTTGTGATATTTATGTGTCTAGGGCTAACAGAATTTGCCAGACAAGTTGGTTAGTATTTCATTTTAACCTATTGATGGGGCTGTTGTTGTGATATTTATGTGTCTAGGTCTCTAGAGCTTAACAGAATTTGCCAGACAAGTTGGTTACTATTTTACTTTAACCTATTGATAGGGCTGTTGTTATGATGTTTACAGAGCTGTCAAGTGTCCCGCGAATGGCGGGATTATCCCGCGAATTCGATCAAAATTAGGCTAATTCGCGTGTCCCGCAATGTCCCGCGAAGTCCCGCAAATGTGGCTTTCGACCTCCGCGAATTTCCGAAATTGTTGCAATCCCCTATATGGTGATTATCTTATCTTATATAAGAAGCTAAGTTTTTGCACTTTTGAGGAGTAAAGTTTACCTAATTTTAAGTACCTAGCATGCTGTTGTTTGGTATCAAAATAAAGAGGAAGGGTTCAACTTTCATTTTAATTACGACAATAGGGATGTAGGTCACAAATAGTTCCAACGTTGGCCTTTTTACTATCCGTGTGGCCTTCATCTCAGAACTGAGCAAATGTTAGCAAACGCGAGTTACAATAAATGGACGCTGATATCTAGAAAGGGTTTGTAGAAAAACCGGGTACCGGGTAGTAAATCCTCCATGCTGGGTTCAAACTTGGTACCCGGTACCCGGTCAAAAAACGGGTACCCAAAAAATGAAAAATACGAATATACGAGTATAACATAATTAGATTATCAGAAAACGTGTAAGATTTGTTTTGAATTTACAAAAATGTATGTAACATCCTTCAAAATTGAGCTAGAAGCTTCAAATAAAAAGCATATTTTAAGGCTCTTTTCTTCCTCTATCCATGGGCGTAGCAACCAAATTTCAAAATTTTCCCCAGACCCCCCTGAATACTCGTTTTTGATCCACTCAACTCTTGTTCACTTGATGGTGGCGTACTACTTAGAAAAATAGCGCTACGCCCATGCTATCGTCATGACCATATTATCATTGGTTATGTTCACGTACCAACATACGAACTCATTGAAAATAGAGTAAAATTGATTTGTCTTGTTATTCAAATCGTCTTACAATGTCATTGGCGTAGCCAGGAGAGGGGTGTGATGGTGCGATAGCACCCCCTCCCCCTTCATTACCAATGGAAATATGACCATGATGATAGAGGAAGAAAAGAGGCTTAAAATGCTTTTTATTTGAAGCTTCTAGCTCAATTTTGAAGGAAGTTACATTTATGTAAATTCAAAACAAATCTTACACGTTTTCTAATGATCTAATTATGTTGTATATTCGTATATTTCGTTTTTTGGGTACCCGGTTTTTCGACCGGTTACCAAGTTTGTACCTACGTAAATTTTATTTATATTATTAATTGCATTACATTTACATGTACATATTTATATTTACATTTACATGTACAAAAATATAAGAATGAAGGAATAAAAAAAAAAAAAAAAAAGTTTGAACCCAGCATGGAGGATTTACTACCCGGTACCCGGTTTTTTCTACAAACCCTATCTAGAAAATTAACCTCATTCCCTATAATTTGATGTAGATTAATCGAACCCCTATATCATGGGCTTTCAATTGAAAGCCCATGCCTACAGTATGGTAGTAGTTGGTCACGACGCCAGAAGCAGAGAAGTGCAAAGTATTGTTCCAAATTTTTGAATTTCGTGTTAGATTACGATACTCACACCTCAAGCATGGTTTTTGTTTTTGATAAATTACAATAAAGTTTAATAATATTTCTATGCGTATTTTGTGAAATTATGTTGACGTTTATTTAAGTTACAATGTAACGGTGCATTATATTTGATTAATCAGTATCTGAAAGTTTGATTCAAGTACTTTTACACGCTTTTACATGCTTTTACATTAGTCCAAATCACGCAAATCCCTTGAACGTCCCGGGACATCCTGCAAATTTAGGTGGATGTCCCGCGAAATCCCGCAAATTTAGGGCACTTTTTCTAGAAAATCTGTCCCTCTATGAAGTTTTTGCTGGTAAACCTGTTAACTGTCCCGCAATTAGGGTGTTTGTCCCTCGAATGGTCCCGCGAAATCCAGCGAATTTGATAAAAAAAATTGGCCTTTAACGGAATCACGCAAATCCCTTAAATGTCCCGCGAATTTAGTAGATGTCCCGCAAAATCCCGCAAATTTTGGGCACTGGGTCTAAAAAATCTGTCCCGCGAGAAAATCTTTGGGGGTTGACAGTACTGTGTTTATGTGTCTAGGGCTATCAGGATTTGCCAGACAAGTTGGTTAGTATTTCATTTTAACCTATTGATGGGGCTGTTGTTGTGATATTTATGTGTCTAGGGCTATCAGGATTTGCCAGACAAGTTGGTTAGTATTTCATTTTAACCTATTGATAGGGCTGTTGTTGAGATGTTTATGTGTCTAGGGCTAACAGAATTTGCCAGACAAGTTGGTTACTATTTTATTTTAACCTATTGATAGGGCTGTTGTTGTGATATTTATGTGTCTAGGGCTATCAGGATTTGCCAGACAAGTTGGTTACTATTTTACTTTAACCTATTGATAGGGCTGTTGTTGTGATGTTTATGTGTCTAGGGCTAACAGAATTTGCCAGACAAGTTGGTTACTATTTTAATTTAACCTATTGATAGGGCTGTTGAGGTTGGTTATGTGACAGGCACAGGATTTGCATAATCTAATAACGATAATATAAAAAGTATATTTTTTATCAAACTGATTAATGGTATAATACGAGGGGTGATCAATAAATAATAGACGCTTTTTTACACAGATGTTTTTTATAGACCAATCCCTTTGATTTTCTCACCAGTGATACATCATTCAATTATCTATCAACTCTGAAGATTTGAAAACAAAACATGTAATATATTTTGATATATCTTTATTTCAGTGAAGGAGGTATAGGTATCCCGGGACTGACATAACGTCACACATTCTGAAGCTATTTCAGCTTGTTTAACATGCAGCAGTTGAATGCAGGCTGAACAAAACTAACCATGATGGTCATGAATTACACCATTTTAATATGCTGTTGTAACTTGAGGATAAGCAACATTGTTATCCTAGTTCCAATTCTAGTTATATTGAGCAATAGTGCTATCATGTTTGTATCTGCGCAGTTTTACATTGTGCCACTATTGTTCACAAACAGACAAATGGACGGATGGATAGACAGATAGATAGACAAGTGAGTGATTGCATAACCCTTAAGTTTACAATGTAAGCAGGTTTAAGAAAGCTCCTCTAATTCTTCCTCTGGAATCTGTAGTCTTAATTAAAACAGAAAGCAAAGATACTGTACAGTCATGAGAAATTCAAATTCCTTACTTGATGTAGAATATCTCCGTCATAAGGTGACACACCCATCTTTCTAAGAGCCATACCTTCAGTTACTGAAATCAACAAAAACAATGCTACTGACAATCATAGTGAAACTGTATTTAGTAGAACATCTCCATTATAATGGAGACAACTATCAGAATCTCAGACATTTATTCTAACACCAATAATCCTCTCAACTCTCAACATTAAATTTAGCACACTCTTTTTCCTGTCTAGTATCTTGCCCTTTACACTATAGACGTGGTGATGATAGGAGTTTTAATTTTTAAAAGGGTCACTCTGGGGTTGTGACAAATCTCAGATATATAAATAAAGGCCCAGAGGTTATCCCATGCCAGGACTATAGTCCTGCATGGAGCGCAATCTTTAGCCTGTACGATTACAACTTGGGAGAATTATCTACGCCCCTTACACTTACAATGCCTACTTCAGTAGATTCCTGGGTATTTTAGCATTCTTTTCGGCATATAGGCAGAACGGGAACATTTTTCTTTTTCATCGAGAGATATTCCATCACTTTCCAAGATGGCGGTTGGATTTAAAAGGGAAATCCCCGTTTGACTGACCCGGAAGTGGCCCGGAAGTACCAAAAATTGAGGAATTTAATGGTTGAAACAAGTTAAGTATTACACGCAAATATTGCGATCAAAAACGAAAATTTCTTTGTTCTGCCGATAAACCCAGACAATTGTGGATTCAACTACACAAAAAGAATGCTTAAATGGAATCTATTGAAATAGGTATATTAAGTGTTAGAAGCGTAGAAAATTCTCCCATGTTGTAATTGTACAGGCAAAAGAATAAGACGTTCGCAGGACTATAGTCCTGGCACGGGATAACCCAGAGGCATTAATGCACCTAGTTACACTACAGCTCACCATCATACATGCATAGGTCGTTACAGTGGTGGGATTACCCTTGTGTATTAGTTATAACCGGACGCTATCATTAAGGGGGAATGGTGTAATGACCTTATCTCGTTCCAAGACTATCTCTATCTACGTTCTAGTCTTGCGAACATCTTATTCTTTTGTCTGTTCGATTACAACATGGGAGAATTTTCTACGCTTCTTACACTTAAGATACCTATTTCAACAGATTCCTTGGTATTTAAGTATTCTTTTCGTGTAGTTGAATCCACAATTGTGTGGGTTTATCGGCAGAACGAAGACGTTTTCGTTTTTGATAGCAATATTTGCGTGTAATATTTAACTTATTTCAACCGTCAAATTCCTCCATTCAGTTCCCGGCATGCACCAGTCATAAGGGAAATCCCTGGGGAATTCCCCTTCCGACTTTTTGAAAATTGCTGATATATTTCCGATGTAAAAACTAAAATCTCTTCGTTCTGTAGATAAACCCATACAATTGGCGATCTAACAACATAAAAAGAATTCTAAAATACTAAGGAATGTATCGAGGTAGGTCATTTAGGTGTGCAATGCGTAGTATTTTCTCCAACTTTGTAAAAACATTGACTGACCAATTATACGTGCATACGACCACAATCTAAAGGGGTCGTAGGGGGTGGGGTAGGTACGAAAAATTTCTAACGGAATGCGTGACATATACGTAATTCGCTTGAAAAGTCCGAAAGAAATGCGTACATTTTTTTCCGGCGTTCGTATTTTTGCTGTGTAGACGATCTTTTTTAGAAATTTTTCTACAGAAATATTTTTGCTTGACAATTACCAGGCAAAATGCGTATTTGCGTGACTTCAAATTCTTCAGCAAATGCGTGACAAATACGCAAATTGCGGGACAGTTGACAGGCCTGGGCTCGTTATACTACAGCTCACCGCCGGAGCGTGTCCTCAGGTCGTAACACAGCTCATTTTTCAGGTAAAGTTGTAAACTAAATTGTTGAATATAAAATGAACCCAATGATTTCGTTTGGAAACTTGTCAACATTGGCTTCAGCATTTTCTTTCAATCTAGTCACAAGAAAAATTCAATTGAAAATCAAATTTACCTCGATTCCATGATGTACTTGGGGTAATCACCTCTGGTCTGGAAGCCATCCACTCACACACAGATGACTTATAAAGCGACAATCTAACTGAAAGTCCAAGAGCACAAGCGATAAAAAATGCTGCCGACATTTTGATTTGCTCGATATAATTCTAAATAGCAAACTTTTGCAGGAACGAAAAGTATTACCTGTCAATCTGAATTTATTGTGTTTCTCGAAAGAATATTTTGATTTTACAAATTTGAGGTATGAATATGAATTTCTGCTAAAAAAACTGTAATATATTTTAAAATTAATAAAATTACTCACATGATATGCATCATCTATTTAAATTTATATAGAATTTCAAATCAGAATGAACGATCCCTAATTTAGGTCATGTGATTTGAATGTTTACAAAGTTGGCGCCAATATTGATCGTGGATTCTGATTGGTTTAGAAAGTATGTCATTCCCAGGCTGCACTCGTTCACACGTGAAGTCTGCAAGATGGCGTCTAATTTCAAAGTTGATGATTTGGTTTGGTAAGTTGGTTATTTTACCCTATATTGAGGTGTCTTTCCATGCGATTTCTGTACCATATATGTAGTTTGAGTACTGATGTATCTACCTTGTTATTTCCAGGGCCAAGATGAAGGGCTTTCCTGCATGGCCAGGCAAGGTAATGATTTTCTCACTTGTTTTCATTTTTGGCCGGCTGATTTTGTTTGCAAACTTGACCCAATTTTATATAAAACTGAGATTCTCGACATGTGTACTGTTTACACCCTCAAAAATATCAAAATTAACTCTTTCTTTATTGAAAGTATCAATTTGTACACTCATTCGTACCTGTTTCTTAATTTTGATAAAGTTCAGTTTTTTGCCTTTGTTTCAAAGACAAACATCAGTTGTAAGCTTTTGAAGTGATAATATACTCTGCGATACCATATATTTTCTTCATTACTTTGTTTTCTTTGTTAAACATACAGAATCTGATGTCTTAAATTAAAAGTCTTTTTTCGTTTTTCCAGAGCAAAACAGATGAAAATGTAAAAAGTGGGTGTGGCACAGTCTTTGGGGATTTTCAACCCAGCAAAATCTCAATATGATGAAAACATCGATATATCATATGTCCACTCCCACATGTTATATTATAGTAAATTGATGATGTTTTACATTTTCTAAGATATTTTAGAGAATTAAAGGTACCCAGATGACCTGAGTCTTCTCCATACCTTTTATAAAATTCACAATTAGGAAAATAAATCAGATGAAAGAAGATTAAACCATATATTGCATAGATTTATTAATATATGTTTTTTGTGTTATAGGTGATTGAGCCAAAACCTGAGATCAAGGTTCGATCCAAGAAAAATCACCAGTTTGTTTTCTTCTTTGGATCTGAAAACTAGTAAGTACTTTATAATCATCATGCTCCAAAATAGGTATATAGGAGTAAAATGTCCTAAAAATTTAGGAATCGCATGTTTTATACCAATATTAAATGTCTAATTCTGAACTGGGATTGAAATTTTCAAATGAATTGAGTAGTCATTAATCAATGTTGATTCCATACAGTATTGCAAAGATTTTAGGATTCTGAAATGAAAAAAATACATACTAGTAAATATTTAGAGATATACTGAAGAATCAATTTTATTCGTTATTTCAGTGCCTGGGTGCCAAATGAGTCTATCTGGCTGTATCCCGAGCACAAGAGCCGTTTCACCCTAACGTCACGGATACCTAAAGGTTTCAAGGAAGCTATGGAGTCAGTGGAGGATATACTGAAAGCTAATGCAGCCACAGCTTCAGCATCAGTACCAGAGGTACATTACTGATATAAATCCTTATCCAATCAAGCAAAGTTTTTTATCACTATTTTGCAAAGTGCTGCATTGTCTTCATCTTGTGCTTCTGGTTTGATGGGTGCCTTGTTAGCAAAATTCCAAGAAAACTACTTATCCATTCAACTTGAACTTTTTACAGATGCAAGAGCCATCCTCCGATCACAGGGCTTCAAAATCCAGAATATCTTCTTTCTTTTTACACCCTGCTATAAGCAGTTAGTATTTCCCTGATTAAGAACTCGCAATCTGATTGGCTGTCGCAACACTGCGACAGAAATCACATATAAGTCATTGCGCATAATTAGATCACGTGATTCAGTTTAATTGGGCGCTTCCAAATTGGTTATAGCAGGGGGAAGAAGGAGGGAGGTATTCTGGATACCTGCTTAGGAGGATGGCAAGAGCAGACTAATACAAAGATCTGATTAGGTTTTGGGCATACTGACTTAATCAGTTGGTGGCTATTTGAAATATTTTTTATCACTGTGTGTCTTGTTTGAGAGGTATATTCCGTTCATCTATTTAGACAATTTTCTTAATTATAAACCAGAAATGTGATCAACTTTTCATAATAAATTAGAATTAATTTTGTTTTCTGATATCTGGGCAGTGAGTGATCATTTTAACCATCTATATTTCACAATTTGATTTGGTGAATATTTGCCACTTAAACATTTTTTGTGATTTTGCAGAAGATTCAATTTAGCTTGTCTTTACTTTGAAGCCGAAAAACATAAATTAAAATTAAATTAAAATAATCATTGCTCTCATCTTATGTTACATTATTTCCATTTTAAAATTTTCGAATTAGGCCTACATTGTTCCCTGTTGAATATATATTTGATAAAGGTAGCCTGTTGAGACTACAAGGAAGCATTTGTATACTGTCTCAGAATACTCATTCATACACTTACTCATAGGCTGACGCCAGCTCCAGCTCGGGTGATCTCGACTCTAACAAATCGGACAACCCAGACCTGCCCAGTATTGAGGAAGAAATTGCACAGATATTTGGTGACAAGTCTGAACCTACTCCTAAAAAGGATTACTCAAGGGAGCCCCTAGCTTCTAAATCATCTGCAAAGGTAAGATAAATATAAGATATGGGGTCACATTTTGAATTGGAAAAAGCAATAAAAAGAGGAATTAGCAAGGGATTAAGTATGCAGGTGAGTGGTCAATGTAGAAACTCAAAAAATTATGGCAGTTTATTCAGTGATGAATTTTGGAAATGGCTCGATTCTTCTACCGTTTCCAAAAGACCCTACAAGCAAGGGTCATGTTAATAAGGGGTCTCATGATAAAGGATAAATTACTAAAATGGAAATCACAAAACTGAAGTTTGTCTCCAGATTATACAAGACAATCTTTTACACGATGCCCATGTCAAGCAGCGTGCCTACTAGGCACGCAGCTTGAAACACTGACAAACTGCGCGCATATTTCAAAATCGAAGACGGGGAGGACACGACTCCCAAAAAGAGCCAGAATACGAAAAATACAAGGTTAGTCTCGTTCTAAAGACAGTACCATTCTGTGAAGATGAACTTAATTTACTCATAGTACTCAATGTTGTTCCCGATGTAAACCTAGTTATCTCAATATAAGGGTCTTAAGTAGCTTCTGTGTTCAAAATTCACAGTGTAAAGTTATATCTATGTATTTTTATCGTCATTTGCCGTTTATTCAGCCATTGTGTCTGTGTATGCTAGGATATATAGGATCACTCCATCTGATTAAAGCAGCATATAGTTTGTGTTCAAAACGATAATACGCCATAGACATGATTTAAACATTTTTCTTGTCAAACTGCGCGCCTATATTCACGTGTATTTCCCAAACTGCGTGCCTAATATTTTCAAACTGCTTACCTACCCAAGCTTGTTTTGTATTATTAGAAAACGTAAGCGCCAAATGTAAGGCACATATGTGTCTAATAGTAGAACCCCATAAGTGAAACACTATGAGAGTCCATCCACCAAGATGGTGATCTGAAAATAAGAGTTTTTCGTTCCCAACTTAATTGTCACTTCTATTATACATTTTGACTTTCAATATGAAAATCTCATAAAATCTGACAATAAAGCAAAATTTTCAAAGCTATATGAAAAACACCTACACGTGCCTCTGTAGAAATTCCAATGATAATATGAACCTTCAATAGTGTATGCGCACAGTTTGTAATTTCTGGCTAAAATAGGCGCGCAGTTTGTGCTTTATTTCTTTTTAATCTCCTGATTATCTGTTTTATCTCGAAATATTTTGAATTATACATGATAAATGCGTAAAGAATTAAATATAAAACGAGTCTAAAGTATTTGTCATTTATGTTTAAAGTACTAGATCGATTTACGTATAAATTTCCCGTCAAATCAGTGAAGAAAATGCCATTAATCTGCTTATGTTTTAAAACTTAGATTCATTTGCACATAGTTTTTGCTAGTATTTGCAAGATTCGTATATTCGCCACAGAATGAACGCATTGAACAAGAAAACAATGCAGGATAAATTTCTTTAAATTACGTTTCAAAGTACAGACTCCAATTTAAATGATGCAATGTTGCCAGGCACGCAGTTTGTGATCGAAACAAACTGCGCCCCTAAGTAGGCGCGCAGCTTGACATGGGCACCGTGTTTTAGCAGCTTTTTTAAAAAAAATTGGCTTTTTGGGTGGCTGAATATTATACTGAAATTTTACCAATATTTTAGATGTGTTTGCACTTGTGACTTGTGTTAAGATACATAACATCATACTTTTTAAATATGAAACTTTCCTTAATGCCTGAGTCACATTTTCACCGATCCATCGGTCAGCGCCGGGCCGATTGAATGTTTTGTATTGTATTCAATTTTGAACAAAATACTCAATCGGCCGGGCGCCGTAGCGAAAATCTGAGCAAATGTGACCAGGGCATTACTGTGCCTTCTTTCAGCTTATTAGCAGCCTGTGATGTTATTTTATTGGCACATTATCATTAAGTCAAAATTAGATTAATAAGCGCAGGCTTTCATTTAATATGCACTAGTAATGAGCTTTGCGGCTGCTTTCACTGAGCTTTGCAATAAAAAAAAAACTATTCACGCTTTACTTTTGATCACATACATTTTAACTCATATTAGTGAGTGAGCTAATATGGGACACCTTAATGTTCCCAGACCTTGATGCATGTCCTGGAATATTAGAATACTAAAAAATATTTGTATCGGCTCTGTTGAAGGATGATTTAAGTTTTCTGCTATTCCCATTTTTCTGTTAGGTGTCTTTCCCGAAATATAAATAGCTTTTCTGAAGTGTCTTTGAGATGAGTGTAAATAATATGTTATCACCTCAATGTCAAATATGAAAAAAGAATTGAGAATTAGCCCTACAGTGGACAAAAAAAAGAAAAGCATGACGATTTCCAACTCAATTGTCTATCCAATGATCTTCAACACTGAAACAACCTTAGGTCAATGACTGCCATGATGAAATTGAAATACTGTACGCCCGGTATTATTCGCGTGCAATTAACTTTCGCGCTTTTCGCGAGGGTGTTAAAATCACGAAAAATTATCGTCGCGAAATTGCCAATTAAATCCCCGGGAATTTGTTTTACCCGGGGCTCTCAGATGCATTTCGTTTTGTCTACTAGTTTGGATCGAGTTATAGTACTTCAATAGTACTGTGCAACTCCATGACTTTACTATCCGCATGCGCGGCAATGAAAGATCACGTGCGCACGATTGTTCACGAGATCATAGCCTGCAATTTGATTGGACATCATATACTGGGGAATCCCCGAATACGATAAAATACAGTATTCGCTAAATTTAATAGCCGCGAAACCGTGTTTTCGCAAAATTTGCGAAAATAAAGCTCGCGAATAATACCGGGCGTACAGTATTAAAATTGACACTTCAATCCAGTTGTTGGTGTTGTACTTGACACTGCAATACAGTAGTTGAAATAACACTTGACACTCGCTCCAGTTGATGGAATTACACATGACACTACAGTCCAGTGGTTGACACTGCTATCCAGTATTTGGAATTATACTTAACACTGCAATCCTGTATTTGGAATTACACTTGACACTGCAGTCCAGTATTTGGAATAATACTTGACACTGCAATCCAGTATTTGGAATTATACTTTACACTGCAATCTAGTCTTTGGAATTATATTTTACACTGCAATCTAGTCTTTGGAATTATATGTGACACTGCAATCCAATGTTTGGAATTATACTTAATACTGCAATCCTGTATTTGGAGTTATACTTGACACTGCAATCCAGTATTTGGAATTATACTTGACACTGCAATTCAGAATTTGGAATTATACTTGACACTGCAATCCAGTATTTGGAACTGTACTTAACACTGCAATCCTGCATTTAGAATTATACTTGACACTGCAATCCAACAGTTGGAATTATACTTGACACTGCAATCCAACAGTTGGAATTATACTTGACACTGCAATCCAGAATTTGGAATTATACTTGACATTGCAATACAGTATTTTGAATTATATTTAACACTGCAATCCTGTATTTGGAATTATACTTGACACTGCAATCAAGAATTTGGAATTATACTTGACACTGCAATCCAGTATTTGGAATTATATTTAACACTGCAATCCAGCAGTTGGAATTCAACTTGACACTGCAATCCAGAATTTGGGTCTTGACAATTCTAGTAGTACAATTGCAATAGTATATGATGTATATTTTAAATGCCAGTGCCCTGTAAGCCTTCTCATTAGATTTGCTCCATGAGTTACTAATTATTCTGAGAATGAGATTACTTAAATATTTGTACAAACTGGAACTTGAAAAATTTAAGAACATTAACTTACAAGACAGAACATATCCCATCGTGAGAGATTGGAGCTTTCTGTCAGTTCCTTTTTTGAAGGCTTGCGATTGGTTCCATACTACTTACATATTGGCCTAGCACAGTTTGCTAAAAATGAAGACCAGTTTGATAATTTACTGAAATCAAGTGACTACAAGTATTTATGGGTACTGGGTAGGTATAATGATAGTGACAATATAATATGATGCATATTATGTAATGTATTTTATGATAACCATCACACTGAGGGGTACAGTGGTTGTCATGACCACCATAGGGAATCATTCAAAATGAGTTAAAGGCATGTTTACTTGTTGTTTTATCCATCAGTTGCATGTACATGTGTAACAAAATTTGTTGAGTTCAGCACTCATAGCATACTAGGCAATGTGATGTAATGTGAATTAGTCATTAACCTTTTTAGAAATCTATATCCTTAAAGCATGCAGTTCAACAGTATGTTGTGCATGTAGTTTACTAATTATTAACAACAAATCATCCCTAATCAATTCTAATCACCCTCTTGGCAGTGTAGTCATTAAGGAGAAAATACAAGGTGGTCGGACAAACCTGTTAATCATTCTATTAAGCTGGTCTGTATCTAAATTTGCTGTTTAGTGACCAGCACCTTCAAAAAAGTACTGGTCCCTATCAAATGTGACTGGTCGGTCATTAAAGTAGAAGTACTGATTGAAAAGAAATCATGGCATCTCATTTGAGTTTTGTCTTTTATGTTCTCTTTTTGTTTGTCATAAAGTATTTCTTGCTTAAAGCTACTTAGAATCTGACTAGATTGTATGTTCATGTAGAAAAACACGTTTTCATATAAGCAAGTGCACATAAAATGTGTTTATTTTGAGTTGAGTGTCATTTGAGCTTATTTTGATGCGAAGGCATGTGTACTCTGTTATCTCTCACCAAAATTAAATTTCTTACTTATCAAGAAAAAGACTCTGATAAAGTGAGCAGATATGATGTAAAATTAGGATAACTCTAATTTATTATCCATCCTGTTGAGTAATGTTACGGTCATCACTTCTTTAGGTTAGTAGATGACACAAAAACACACTGGTCAAAATGGCTGGAAAGTATGTAACTTTCACTATTACAGTGCTAAATCTATTGGTCCATGACCGCCGGGAAGGCCTTGAATGACTACACTGCCCCTTGGTCAGTTATAGTATTTGGACTTCAAGATTTGAGGTTTCTCTCTTAATGTTCGAATTTTATGTGCCACATTTGACCATTATGGATAAAATTATTTTGCATGAAAGATTTAGTTTATTTTGCAAGGGTAAAACTTATTTTACATTGAAACATTTAGTTTATTTTGCAAGGGTATTGTCATTTATTTTCTAGGTTGAGGGAGAGGAAAAGGAGGGCAATGTGTTTGACAACATGGAATCGTGGATGAAAAAGGTGAAAATGGCAGACATTTTTCTTGATTGTCCAAATTCAAATGCTTTAGGAATTGATATATTTCTACTGCTCTGGTACATATCAGATATGTATCATTTCCATTCACTATCTCTATTAAGCTAATCTTCTAACAGTCTAACACATTGAATGATTAATATTCAATTTCAACATGAAAAAATATAATAGATTTTCACTCTCCTTAGTTGAACAACAGTGAAACCTCTTAAGTGGAACACCTGTATAAGTGGAACACCTTTGTTAGTGGAATACTTTTCAGAGTTTCCGATGGTGTTCCACTTAAACAGGTCTTACTGTATTTGATATTTACATGGTACAGTGTTGTAAAGGTACATGTATGTTTCTTTGCTTGTAGAGCCTAGCTTGCTTTAATGCTAGAAGTGTTTTCATATGTTTTGTGTTATCCCTACCATTCCAAGTCTGTTCTCTTCCCCCTCCCCCCAGCTACGGGCCTGCGTCTACTCAAATTAGTATTCTCACAATATTTTCCACTGTTTTGTGACTTGTCAACATTATTTAATACCATTATGCTCATGCTTGAATCAATACACCCTGAGAGTAGCTTGATGCTAATTGGCATTTCTGATTGGCATGTTTAATATTATTATTATACAGTTCAATGCAGCTTAGTACTGTACAATAAAATACAAAACTTAATTCTTCAGTACAGCAAAGTATACTGCAGTTCAGTACAGTACAGTACCATACAGTAACAAATTGTACAATAAAAACAATGACTTTATACTTTATTCGAACATGAGTGTATTCAAGCCTTCTATAAACTGTAAACAAAGTCAACATTTCACCCGGGGTATATTTGCGAATAATACCCCTGGTAATACGTGACGTCATAACTGCGGGTTGTAGTAATGGCAGACCATAATGAATATTCAAAAGATTTTGGTGAGTTTTCATGTTCGAATCGTAATATAGACCTCAGAGCAGGTGTGATATCGTCCAATACACCCCTTAGGGCCAGGCACAAAAGCTTTCGAACCCCTCACTCCCTTAGGTTGTTCGGGGTACAGAAAATGTTTGTGTCTAGCCCTGCGGGGTGTATTCGACAATATTACCCCTGCTCTTCGGTCTATATTTCTGAAGTAAAGTATAGAACAATAACAATGCTATAAAATTAAAAATAATGCTTTATTCAGTAAAGTACAAAACAGTACAATATATTGGTTCAGTTTATTCACATTATGTATTTGTAACTTCCAGAAGAGTCCAATGGGTTCAGCCAATGGGGATGCAGATGAAGAGAATTCTGGGGAAGATGAACCTCTCTCAAAGCTATCAGACAGTAAAGAGGCACCTGCCAAAGAAAAGCGGGAACGCAAACCACCTAAAAAGGTATGCTTCTGTTCAAATTTGCCTATCACTGTTCCACAAGCATTTGAAATTTAAAAAGCTGATGTCTATTGGAGTATGACTTCTGTATGCTATTGAAGAAAATATCCGGTTGATTATATTTTACATATCTACTGTATAATCTAAACACATAAATCAGCAAGTTCATGGAAGAAAGCATGTGTTCTACAGTTTTAGATATACATGTTATTAACTGCCTCAATTCGTGGCTCGTCCCCTTTAGTGGCCACCTTTTTCAGAGTGGACTGATTTGTCTGTGTTCAGGGGTTTCACTAGAATTTCTCACACCAGGCTAAATAAATAAAAACAACAGGCAAAATTAATGGAAATCATAAATTTAACATGAACAAGTTGAAATGTTAAAGGTTTTAGGTATGCTGGCCAAATGACATTGTGGCCATTTTGAATTCTTTGATAATTCGGCCATTTTGAATTTTTCGTGATTCTGTTCAACTTGAAATTGTTACAGATGCAGCAGCAGACTAGTGCCAATGTCTGCTCATATCAGATTATGGGTAAACTACATGGTGTCTACTGACCATCTTGCTCTTCAAAGTTTTATATTTCTGTTTCTTTTTCAGAATGAAGATTTTGTAACAGATTTTGATGAAGAGGCAAAGACAAAAAAGGTGAGAATACCTACTTTTATGTTTAGTACTTGAAAAGAAATTAAGTCCATAAGTAGGAGTTACATACAACTTAATTAATTAATACTATAAAAGTGCTTTAGATGAAGTCTCATCAGGAGCAAGATATTCTAAAGTGCTTTTCGACTAAGGTGTTCAAAGTTTTCTATTGTTTTTTTTCTGTGATACATACATATTTAGCAAAGTGCCTAGAAGTGCATAAATGGAATTCAGGGCTTTTAATTCATCCATTGGAGTGCAATGTTCAATCTGTAATGTTGTATTTTCCATTGTTATTGATCACCTGTATACTGTAATAAGGAAAACAAGATGTGAAAAACAATAATCAGGTTTTGGTGCATATGCATGTCTAAATGTTATTATGTCACTGACAGAATTGGTGACATATTGTTAGTCTCAAACTTTTTATGGACAGTGTTCGGCGGTTGGTATTTGGCATCTGTCTGTAACAAATGGCAGGTGATGACATTTTGCATGGTAATGCCTTGTATACGAGTTAGTGTTGAATTTGATTAAATGTTTATGTTACATTTCACAATTAGGTTAAAGATGACCAGGTAGAAAAAGTGAAGAAAGAGAGAAAGAGAAAAGCTGAATCTACTCCGCCCAGACCGAAAGTAAAGAACCAGAAACTGCTTGTTAAGTTTGGGGGTACCCCGTCCAAGTGCTCGCCCATTGTATCTCCAGTCAAAAGACAGCTAGTCCCAAATGCCGTAAGTTACAATTTATTTTCCAAGAAAATTGAAATATATTTGGGTTGCACATAGGACTTTATGTATCTAGAAAATGACTTGCATATTGTGGATTCACAAATTCACCTAAATATCACATTTAGGTTTGCAAATACATATGTCAGTGATCTCCCCAGCATTGAAGCAAGTGGGCGCAGCACCCACCTGAAATTCTAAAAACAGGCTTGCACCCACCTGAAAATTCATTTGCACCCACTTGAAAATGAGAAAAATCATGAAATATGGGCATATTTTGACCAATTTCAATGTGAATTGTAAAAACGAGAATATTGCACCCACTTGAGAAAACATCCTGGGGAGATTACTGTATGTATATGTCCAATACAAATCCTGTGATATAATGGAGATGAGAATTGCTTTGGTTTTCTTCAGGACTCTGGCACAGCAATCATCGAACAAAAGAACATCATTCCGACACCAGCTAAAATCGGCTTCATCGGACTAGGAATTATGGGTAATGGCATGGTGACAAATCTCCTTGCGTCAGGACATGAAGTGACAATTTGGAATAGATCCCCTCACAAGGTAGGTGTTTTAGCAAATCTGCAATGTTCTTATCTTAATGGATAGTTGTATCACAAGCAACCTTGATTCTCAATGTTTCAGCTGTCCTGATTTATACAATACCGGGACCAGGTTTTTGCAGAGCTTGTATACCAGTATACCACCTTTGCTTATTAATTGATTGGTGGAAAGGTTTATCAAAATATGTGAGTGATATTGTTGCCCTTGAAACATACTAGTTTAGTAAGGGTGTACATGTAAAAAATGATGTGTTAATCCTAAGTGAGTTGTGGAACATGCATCAGAGTTTGGTATTAATGCTCAAAATTGCCGCTTGGAGAACAATACCTCAAAGATATGAGTCATCAGTGTTTCTGTGTTTTAAAATTGCTTTTGAATGTTCACAAATATCCATTTTGTGTATCAAATACAGTTTCTCATTCAAATAGGGATTTCCCAATAAAATGATTAAAACAAGGAACGCAATATGTCATTGTAATGACATCAGAGAGTCAATAAAAGATAAATAACAGCTTTTGTTGCAGGAAGATTGGGGTAGATAAAATGTAGGGCTAAGATACCTGGTCCTTACATTAGAATATAATATAGGTGAAGAATGCCCCATAAATAGAAGACATTGACTTATATCTATTTCAAAATGGGTCTTTAAGTTGTAAATACATGTATGATTTTAATTTTCCCCCGTGAATTAATTAGAGAATAAGTTAGATATATGAGGGTTAATTTTTGTTAAATGTTTTGTTGAAATCCTTCCATAAAAGTATACTTCTACCCTGTGTGTTTATTGCATTGCCTTCTATTGATAAATTGAACTCTGTGAATGTCATTCTCGCAGTAGGTGTTATTCCAAGATACAGTTAGGTAAAACTTCAGAAGAGATCAAAATGATTCATTTAATCAAGTTTAGTAACAATATGTTAAATTAAAGTATGTCATAAATCTTTACATTATCAATATATGTCATATTAGCTTTTTGCCAGAGCAATATGGCCACTGATTTCTAATGTAACATTACAGTGATCATGATTGAAGAGAAATATTCTAATATGGCCTGCGTGGGTTAGTTTTCATACTGAAAGAATCCATAGTTTATTCATTGAGTTAGAAAATAGGGACCATGGCTTGATAAAGTTCATGAAAAATGTTAGAAGATGAAGGTTATTAATGGTTTCACAAGATCTAATATGACATACGTAGTATTAATACAGGCAGCAATATTTTTAGAGTATTTGCGCAATATTTGTTGTATTGCTTTCAATTCATGCTATTATATTATGTAATCACCAATCAAATTACCAGCTGTGACGTGAAAATGAAATTATATCTGTTGTGTTTGGTACTTTTTCAAAGAAGGCTATCTCATCAAAAATGATAAATAGTACATTATAAATGTGGTCATCTTTGTCATGTTACATCTTGTTCTACCAACACTTCAAATATGGGTAATCTGTATTTAAGGTGGGGAGTTACATTAAGACTTCAAGCAAAACTTAACTTGCTTTGTTTTTATGTCACCACCACATGTGGTGACATTCTGTTACAGTCTCCAACTTTTTGTGATGGTTGTTGGCATCCAGTGTTCGGAGTATGGCATCTGTTACAAATGGCAGGTGGTGACATTTTGCATGTTGATGTCTTGTGCTGTCTATGTAATAAAAACATTTCATTTTGTTTTATTTTTTCTATTCTTATGTATTTGATAAATTGTTAACATTATGCTATGAACAAATGACCTAACAAACACATATGGACATAATCTCACTCATTGGTCACTGAATAACAAGACAATATCTATACTGTTAAAATTCAGGGATGGTAAACAAATGTTATACATGGGGTGATCAATAGATTTTGTGAGTGACCTTCTATCTCAGAAAATATTACATGACAGAAATATATTAGACTATATTTGAGTCAAAAGTTTATGAGCTTACAATCTCCATTCAGGGAACCATTTTTGTATGTATAAATTGTTAAAGTGTGCGCCAAAGTTTAAAACTGCGCAGGCGCACCGCTCTCGCTAAACTATATAAAGAGATTACCAGGTACACGATTCAGAGGTAAGCCAGGAAGGCGAACGATCTTCGTCTCGTGATGATTTCCCATATAATCGTAACCAGGGAAGTTTCACCATTGAAATTGAAAATTACTATTAGATATACTTTGTAGATGTTATTTATGAAGCTATTTAGTGTTTGCATCAATCAAATGGCTCATTTTGAACATATAAAAAGTATTTGTGTTTTGTTTCCCAGGGAATTGTATTGTATGTAGTACACACATAAATAGTGTACATTATACAGTACTTGAATAGCCTGGTTTACATAATATTGAAGGGCATGCTGATTACATGCACACGAGTACATGAATGAAGGCCTAATATCGATATACGTAGCTTGCATACCTAAATAAAAAATAAACTCTTCTAATCCCCTAATGTAAACACGGCGGTATACGTAGCCCGATTTATCGGGGACTTTAATTACATGTACGAGTATGTTTTGGAAATGCCAATTTTTAATGTTGTGAGTCAAGTACCAATCCTTAGCAACCATAACTGAGATCTTACATATTACATTACATTTCCAGAGTATAATCAGGAGTGTTTCTATTACATTTCTAAGTTTGATGCCATGACTCCAAATATTTGCTGAGATAAATTATTACTTGCTAAATTTATTGATCACCCCTTGTACCATACCAACCAGAAGTCTTAAGATAATAAAAGTCATCTAGGCCTAAGTATGTCTTTTCATGTTGATAATACTCAACTTTCAAATACTTGATCTAAAAATTCAGTTAAGTGTATCTGCTTCAGTGCAATAATATTCTGGTTAATTTATAATGTGTGCTTTCTCCCCAACCTTTAACTGTTGCTGTTTAACTGTTGCACATTTTGTACATGTTTGTTTTTAAAATCAGTTGTTACAAGCAGGACATTGTGGGTAGAAGCACTCCTTGATGTGCAGAAGTACATTTACAGTATAGTGCATGGACAAATAATCCATTTAGAATCCAAAAAGTGCATATATAATCTTGCAGATGCATAAATATAAATGTCACTTTTCTTTTGCACTGTGTAAATATAACAAGCATCAAAAGTGTATCTACCCACATATTATGATAAACATGCTTAGATTTGTTTATCATATCCTTCACATTTTAGTTCAACTGCCTTTATATTTTACATGTTTGATATGTTCTCTAATATCATGATATTTAGCTAGAAGAAATATATAGCTTGTTAAGTGAAATATTTTCTACTTTTAGTATTACACCAATAATGGGTGACTTTCCCATAATAATACATGGTGTCCATAAAGTCTCTTTACATAGAGTTTGCATTGTAATAATAAAAAACTTTTTGGACACCCTGTATTTATAACATACTATTTAGCTAACAAAAATAAAGTTTGTTAAACTGAAATATTTTGAAATTAAACTTTACACCAGTAATTGCTGACTTTACAATACTACTTATTTATTCTTTTTTTCATCATTTCATTTTAACACTTCATAATATATGCACTTTTAGAAGCAATTTATATTGCACAACTCCATTTCATTCTCAGCACCAAATACATATATATGTTCAGTCTATCATAAACTCCATATATAACGAGGCTTTTCCAGATACTGCAAATTGAAACCTACTGTTTCTTTTGTGCTTTCTTATTAAAATTACTCAATATGTTACAATGAAATAGTCTGACCAAAATACTGTATCATTATGAAGGCCTATTCTCAATGGGATTCATTGGCAAATCTTGGAGAAACAAAAAAATTATACAATGTTGTCATATATTATCTATATGTTGTCTGGATCTCTATTATTAATAGTTTCTATAGAAAATGTACAATTGTTTTGACAAGTTTAGAGTTTATTACCCCCAAAAATATAGTTGAAATATGAATGTTTTAAAATGTTACAAATACACCCTTCTTAGTAGGCAAATGTTATTGTATCTGGTGTACATGTAATTCCCAGTGGCAAGGGAACCTGTATTTTCTGGTTGCTAGGGTGTTTTAGTTCTTGAGATATTTACAACATATTCATCCGAAAGTTGTGTGCAATGTGATTTGGCCGTATTCATAGTTTTTGTTAAAATGTACGCTTAAAACAAAAGCCCTCGTTTGTTCTATAATATCTCTGATGTGCTTATTTAACATGTTTAATACAACTTATTTACAAATACTAAATAACAATTCATTTGGGAATAACATGCACAAGTTTCTAAATGTTTGAACTTGTGTACATTTCCCCCAACAAAATAACCAGAACTAACAATTTTGAATGTTTTTTACACTGTTCATTATCCACTTTTATACTGTAATAGGGGAGTGGATCATAAGAATCAATGTTTGTTGTTTCTGTGACCCCTTCTTAATTATCTAATGTAATGTGTGTCATATTGTGGTCTCGTTCACCATATGGACAGCTTGAGTACCATTGTCCCCTAGAAAGATCACTGTGCTAGGTTCATTTGGGGAATGTAGGGGGCTCTCTTCACTGTCACCTCCTGTGCATTCTGGGTCTATTAAGCTACCTCCTGTGTTGTCACGTGAAGAGATCTCTGGGTCTGTTGAGTGAATTCCTGTGTTTTCATGTGGTAAATCCTCTGGTTCTATGAGAGCGATTGTGTTATGTTCAGTCTGATCGTTGAGGTCATCACTGGCATCGGGGTTGTCATTATATCCCTCATTGAGACATGCCTCAGAGTTACTACGAGAGTTGTCAGCTGTCATATATTCGCTAGAGATCACTGACATGGCCTGATCTGGCTCTGAGTTCAGATCCAGCATCATCTCAGTGTCAAATAGCATGCTCTCAGTGCGAATGCACTCGGCCTCAATGACCCCCTTGCACTGGTCAAAGTTCATCAGCTCGAGGATCTTCATAATATGATTCTGTTGGAGTCTGTAATTTTCACGTAATTTCTCCATTTGTGTCGAGCTATACTCTCGGATTCTTAGGACTTTAACTGCATAATTCTCACGTATCTTCTCCATATGTTGTGATTTATAGTCCTTCATTTTGCCTAACTGTTCGTTGTAATTGGTCCGCAGTTTCTCCATCTGAGTAGAGCCGTTCTCTTTGATTTTGTTGATCTGCGTATGATAATGATCCTGCATGCGGGTCATCTGACCATACAACTGCTCCTTGAGTTTCCCTACATGCACATGATAGTTATCCCTGAATTTCTGAATATTATAATGCTCCCGGAATTTCTCCCAATGTAGAGTCTTGTATGCATCAATGTTGTCCACAATTTCTCGGATTGTCTTTCGTTTCTTCTTTTGGCGACTTTTGCACTTGTCTACAGCCATTCGGATACAGCCAATGATAATACTAAGCACCATGAATACTCCAGCAGCCGCACATCCAAATATTATACTCCATATTTTGATGGTTTGCATTCGTTCATAATTCAGCTTTAAGAGCGTTACGGCAGTGTCATTTCCTGCGATATTACGAGCAATGCATGTATATTCCCCACCATCATTACGTAAGACATAGTCTATATATAGACTTCCATTGTCGAGTAGATGGATGCGGTTTTCAAAATCAGTGATATGGTGGTATTCATCAGTCTTATGCCAGTAATGATTTTCATGAAACCAATCCTGCTGTACTTGATCCATAGGGACGTATTCATGGATTCTGTGGTGCATGTATGTGAGCACTTTCCCGCGGGGTGATATCCATGTTACTGAGGGAGGCGGATCCCCCGATGTTTCACAATCTAAGATGGCTGTAGACCCAACTTTAAACCAGCCACGTTTGGTATGTCTCACAACCACTGGTGGAATACAGGTGAAATTCATATCGGGAATATCTCCAAAATTCCAGCCCTTTAATTGCTGAGGGGTTTCACATTTCAATTCAAGGGGCTCCAGCAGACGTGGCAGTAATGACTGGTCTAGTATAGTGTCTTTGATCCATTTGCTCACACAGTTACACCCGAGTGGATTACCATGTAGCGACAATGTATGGAGTTTGGTCAGATTACTGAAGAAGTGACGGGGAACTTGGTGGAGGTTGCTGGAATGTAGATATAATGTTTTCATGGCGCGGAGTGGCTGGAAGATATCAAGCTCCAAGCCAGAGAGGTTTCCATTGTTGCTTATATCAAGTGTTTCTAAGTTCACAAGACCATTGAATGTTCCAGGTATAAATGCTTTAAGGCGTGGCATTGCACTGATATATAACTCCTCAAGTTTATTATTCATTTTGAAGACGTCAGGTTCCAAGAGGTCAATGTCATTATGGCTAATGTCCAGGACTTGAAGCTCCTCTAGAGGGGAGAGAACGTTATCATCGAGACATAGCAGGGTATTATGCTGGAGAAAGAACCTCCTGAGGCTGATCAAGCCTTGTAGGGCTTTGGACGTCAGATTAGTCAGCTGATTATATGTTACAGATAATGTCTTAAGTGTATATAGGTATGTGAACCCATAGTTGCCCAGCTCACTCAGGGAGTTATAATCCATATAGAGTTGCTCTAGTAGTCCGAGGCCGAGAAAGCTTGTCATTGTGACATTTGTGATGTAATTATGGGATAGATCCAGAAAGTTCATGCTTGTTAGATATCTGAAAGTACTGTCCGGTATTGAGGCTATTTGATTATGACTTAAATCCAAGAGTTTAAGTTTATTGAATGTCCTCATCCAAGTGTTGTCGATAGAACTCACTGAACAGTTGGACATGTGGAGCTCCAGTAGATTTGGGAGAGCATTTATGGCATAAAGAGCGGATTCCTGAATATGGTTATTTGACAAATCTAAGACTTCTAAATGACGTAATCCGAAGAATGACTGATTTGTTATACTGCTTAATCGGTTGCGACTTATATTCAGTGTACGTAGGCTAGAATACTGATTGAGGCTGCCTGATAGGTTCTCAATGTTGTTGTTATGTAGATTGAGATGTATAATATTGCGTGGTAGTCCACTAGGTGGCGCTTCAAGATTGGCATTAGTACATATTGCTGATATTCCATCTGAGCAGTCACAGGCATCTGGACAAGACATTACTGTTCTGAGACAGACTAGAATCAAAACTATGGCAAGAAGATGAACCCTGTTGCCCATGTTCAACTTGACTGACATTGCACTGTGTCCCTTGTGTCCCTCCTGCATCTTGATTGGCTAATCCATTATGCAACTAGTAATGCCATCTATCATCTGGAAGTACACAAAAACACAAAATTTATTATCATTACCAATCATTTGATCATTTGAGCAATATTGTGAATCGACATATTTCTGTTTTTTCAATTATGCTGCCAAATATTTTCCTATTGTGTACCTGTTTACTTGAAATATCCCTAATATCTACTTTTCCTTTCCAAATTTGAAACCTTGTGAATGTTCCAAAATGATAAAAACGATAAATAGATTCATAAAAACTACATAAATGCTATTTGATGATCATATCAGATATTCTCTCATGATTTCACCTTTCAGTTGTATGTATCTGCATGGCCCAATAGCTATAACTACCCTAATGTAATTTATATTCAAGTATAACACCTGCTTCATCTAAGGCTAGTATAAATATATGAAATGTTTAGCACAGACATGACATTCTCAAACTAGTAAGTCATTAGTTCAACAAGTTAAACCTAGTCTGGGCCTTATTTCTTATCTGACATTTCTTGTGGCCCGCCCTAGGTTTAACATCCGTGCCTATTCGGCCCTTGATGCAAAAAATTTTAATGATGGCCTATGGCAGCGCATGGAATTCCATGCGCGTTTTATTAATAACTGATAGTGAGAATTTGCAACAAATGAAAGCATAGCACGGAAGTTAAACCCAACCACGGCAACAAGAACACTCAGATTATAAATGAAAGCCGTGGTATTGGGTTTAACTTGTTGAACTAGTAAGTCATAAGTTCAATGCTGTATTTATGGAAAATAAACTACATTCTAACAAATTTCATATAATTTGAGAATATGTTGCAGAATGTTGACAATTTAATAAAAATAAATTCATCATCTATCTTTCTATATAAAACCATATGTTATGTTAAACATTGAACTGAAATTGATATGCTCTAGCCTAACTTTATGCACTGTGATTTCCCATGGGTTACCATAAGACTAGAAATAACCTTATTTACAGCATTAGGCCAGGATCCAGTACAAAACAAGCAGGTCATATCATTGAGCCATGTAGACTAATGTGCCAACTGCAGATGAAGGTCATATATCCATGTTCATGTACTTGAATTTATAATGAAATATTGCTAATATGCTTACTGACATAAGGACAGGATAAAGTGTCTCAAACTCACTGTGAGTGCAAGTTGGTGTTTCTATCACGCTGTGCACTAATTAGCACCCTCAATCCTGTGTTGATTCTCAATATATTGTGGCTAGGACTGCGACTACTCAAGTAATTTCAATTTCAAACAAAGAGGTTGAGGAAATAGTGAATGAGGTCATTGCAACCATATTAATACATCCATAATGGATTGGTTCAAGATGCCTCTTGACTTGACTTCAATATTTCAAAGATTAACCTTGTTTAGCAGCCATGCATGGAATCTCCAACCTGAGTTTGGCAGAGAGGGGGATGTGGGGGAGGTCAAAACAGTTTACATCACATAGTATGGCTTAAAACTGGCTAACTGAAGATTTCAAGCAATATCATATGTCGTCATCTTTTTCTAAAGCATGTCATCTTGTATACATATCATAAATGATAGCAAAAGTCACTCATTACCTTAATGTTCTTCCTCAGAGAATAGTTTATTATTAAACGAATGGATGAGCAGATATTAGTCACGTATAAGACGATGGGCCATGGACATGATGGAGATGTTTTTATCATTCCGCATACTAATTGTCTATGAGGATAGCATAATGTTTTACGTGACAATAACAAGTTGATCCTCTGTATGATACAAAGGGTTATAATTTGCTGTAAAGTCCTGGAAATTCAATGAGATAAGTCTCCCAAAATGGGCCTGATGTTGTTATTCAGCACCCCCCCCCCCCCCGACCAAATTTTTTTTTCAAAATCATGCAATTTTTCACCATTTTGAGCACTTCTCAAGTGATTTTAACCATATTTGGGCCAAAATTGTCAAATATGAACCCCCCCTGGAAATTTTTGAAAAATGAACCCCCCCTTGGCAAATCCTGGCTACGGGCCTGGAGGTGTTTATTTTTCAATAGAAAACATCAGATTAATTGAATTCCTGGGAGTTAATGCTTGTAAATAGATGTAAATGAAAACAACAGGAAGTCAACAGAAGCTGACTATTGCATAAAATTATTCTCTTCCATCACAATCATCCATCAAGAAAATTACAGAGACTGATAACCCAGTCTAATATTTCATGAATAATGTATTCAAATGGCTGATCAGAAACAACCTTTTTGGGGTTGTCTGGTTAAGTTGGCCAAGCAGTCTTAGAGCACTGAACATGCTTGGTGCCGTCAGTGAAACATGAGGTTGTGAGTTCGAGATGTGTGAGCTCCTTGCATTTATATATTCATTAAAGAGCTGTTCAAAGTTAGACATATATGTCTTCAATGCAACAATCTCTTCATATGTTATCAGTTGCCATTGATCTAAGACTGAGAATGGCATTATGTTATCAGTAAGTAGTAAGAGGCACCAAGTCTATAACCAAGTAAGGAGGTTTAAATATAGATCTAACAGTGTAATATTGAGATCAATACTTTCCTGTTTTCATGTCGTGACGTAACCAAGCAACATATTTGTCATTTTTATTTGTTCTGTCTGTTTAATATCTTCTTTTTAATGACTGCTTTGATATGCTGTAAGATAGTCGATATCTAATGGTAAGCAGATTTCTTATTCCCTATATTTTTTTTATAATCTAATCAGATTCACTTCCTTCATCTTTGAATGAATGATAAAACTGATGAATTAGTTGTCGTTTGTAATTTAAAATAAGAATCTTGACATAGGATTTCATGGAATTATTTTTAATTAAATTTGTGACCAATAATTCCATGTATAATATTTGTTTTCGTGTTACAATTAATCTACGGGTGATGACCTGCTATAAATTAGACCAGCCACCACCTGAGAATTAGAAATATCACCATATTCATGTTTTAAAATAAAAGAAATAGGAAAATAGTGAACCTGTCGAGAGATAAACATAAACTGACATGATGTGAATACTCAATAGCAATCCTAGAAAATATTAACTTCCATTTAATTAAAACAAAGAGAATGGCATGGAAAAAGCACAGAAAAATGTCTGTTAATATCAGTTTGTTACTGCTGGATTATGATTAAGTAGTGCTTTTATGCCGTGATCACATTTGCTCCGATTTTCAGGTTTGGCGCATGGCCGATGAGTTCTCTGTTCAAAATTACATTCAGTTTTGAATAAAATACTCATCGGCAGGACGTCAGTGTTGAAGAGCAATTCGAACGAATGTAACCATGGCTTTAAATAGATGCTAAAGATGTGCATCTGATAGCCCTATTTTTACAAATAATGATCCATTAGTAGCATAATAAATGATGATAGCTTCTTAAAGCAGGGATAGGCAAGGTCATCTGGTATAAATACCTGTATATTTATTGAACTAAGTTTCTAGCACAGTAATGCCTTGGTCACATTTGCTCCGATTTTCACTACGGCGCCCGGCCGATTGAGTATTTTGTTCAAAATTGAATACAATATTGAGCAAAACACTCAATCGGGTGGGTGCCGGCCGATGGATTGGAGCAAATGTGACCCAGGCATTAGCCTGTCACCTAAGGTTGACTTACTGTTTTCTAAATCGGACCTCATTTTTTGAGAAAAATGGTCAAGAAATAACTTTCAAAATGTTGTGTTCACTAAGCCAATATTCTATTCTAATGTTTTGAACAGTTGAATAGCATCATTCAGAAAGATCCACATACTGTGAGGTCATTGAACCTGTCAGCGTGCATTGAAATTGATGTGCTTTATGAATTGAAAACAGCAAAAACAATCTAGCTATTCATTTGCACCAATATTGAAATGCTGAAAACAACCAGGCATCTTACATGGTCTCTTTCACAAGTATTTATGAGTTAAACCATCATTCTCTGGATGATCATTCTCATATACTGTATAATCAAAATGTCTATAAGACACAGAAAGGAGATGCATGCTATAATAAAAAAACACTATGCTACGATGGCAACTCATTTTTTCGCAAATCGGATCATTGTACAATATACTTTGTAAGGTAGAAAGATGGAGGGTATCAGGCTTCACTGATACAAAATTTAAGAATGGAATAGCACCAACAAATAGTGATTCTCACCAAATAAGCTAATTGAAGGTTCATGTTCTGTCAGTCTGCTTTGATGAATGAGCCACTGTTTTAACGCTTTCAGCCTCCAATACATAACCCTTGCTAAATATAAATGATTATGTATCCAAGTTTGCTATTACATTCTATGAATAGATCTTGATGATGGATGATTTTTGATGATAACTTGTATATGAACATGTAGAATAATTTTCCTCTTTGAATAAGTTTTCCCCTTCATCACATTTACCGTGTACTTCCTAATTGAGTTTAACAGTGTTAGGAAAATAGTTGTACTAGATGGCTGGAAATCCAGTTGAGAGGAGGACAGTAATGTATTGGGATCATAATCACATGCAAGCTTTAAAACATGTAACTTTATCTCCCTAATCTTTGAAATTTAAACCTAACAGTTATAGTTTGGGCAAGAGATAAATGAGTAGTTGATTTCTATCACCATTTCAAAACCATGGTGGTTTGAAAGCCCCCATAGTTTTCAAAGTTGTCTCGATACATGTATATATCTCCTGAAATGTGTATATTTTACATTGTTTATACTCTCATCCACTGATCAATGGCCTCTTCAAAATTCTCTTGTTTTAACATGGTAAATCCTCACTTCAGCAATGACTAATTATGTATGGCCCAAACTTACCTTATTCTGACTTTCCTGTTTTTCTACATAAATGTCCTCCTTTTATACTGGATGTGTAAGTTGTCTTACATCATAAAATATGTACAATCTGGATGTAAATACCCTTACTGATAAACATATCACTTTTCTCAACTATTAAACCTACCTGTGCAATGACATTTACTTTACTGATAGCACATGGTGCTAATGAGCAACATGTACATGCAACCAACCCATAACCTAATTACTATCATTCATTTATATACGCAGCTATCTTTACCTTGTGTACAGGTGTGTCAAGGCTAACATCTTGCAGTAATGCATATATAAATAAAGCATGTACATGTATATAAAAAGTTGACCTCGTAGGTTATCAAGATTTGAAGGAAATGCTCAGGATTTGTTAACGAAAAAATTTTACATTTTTTATGCATGTTACATGTCACACCAGTATAACCATACTTGTATTTATTGACTTTATTTAGTCTACATGGTAACATTTAAGTAAAAAATGTGCTCCTTAAGAATGTAAGAAGTTATATAGCATGTTAAACTTAAAAAACAGTATGGACTGCTTGCATGTAGCCAAGTTTTAACAGGGGGGGGGGGACTTTTTACACTTTTGGCTCAAAAATGCATGCAAAAAGTGCTCAGATTGGTGAAAAGCTGCATGAAATTGAAAGAAGTTCTGACTTCAGAGTACATACCTGGATTGGAATTGAAATATCTGAGATGTCATTAAAAAGAACCCCCTGGATGAAAACTGATGTTATATTTTGTGTTATCCATTTATCTCTATAATTACGTCATGTTCTGTCATTTTCCTTACCACCGAATAAAAAATGATACACATTCAAGGATATGAATAAATCATGTGGTTACATGGCTTTAATTAAATATATTCATTTATCCCATCCATCAATTTTCTAGCTCTTATCATTTATTCAAGCAACTTTAATTTCGTGAATGTACTTCAACATGGAATCTTATGTAGATTATTTCTTCAGCAAGAATTCTAAGAATGAGTAGGATTATAAAGAGGAAATTGGCCGTGCATTATATTAACTTCAAGTATGAGATCATTTAAAGAAATGTTGTATTTGATGAGATCTACCAAGTAATCCTAAATTGCCTTTTATGTTTGACATGTTTGGAGTACATCCTTATTAAATGGGTATTAGAAATGAATTCGAAGATTTACATATCAGTATCATATCATATCCTTTCAAAGTCACACTTGCTTTAGGCTACCTGACTCTATGCATGAAATGCCAAAAACCTCCTTAGAAAATGTTACGATACAGTAAAACCTGTTTTATGTGTATGCAACTGGTCAAAAGTGCTCAGATTGGCAGGTGTTCACATTTTAATGTTTTTAAACATGGAAGTCTATGGCAGATGGGACCAAGAAGTTTCCTTTGGGAGGTGTGGTGTGATGCCAAGCTTTTGAAAAGGGTCCAGTATATTGAAGAAAAATGGATGTTATAACCTGTATTATATTGAGGGCATGTATATGAGTATATTGAAGGAGAATGTGTGTTATAACCTGTATTATATTGAGGGCATGTATATGAGTATATTGAAGAAGAATGTGTGTTATAACCTGTATTATATTGAGGGCATGTAGATGTTATTAGCCTGGTAACTGGATGGGTAAACATATTTCAAACAGGCCAACATGATCAATCAAGGTAATTTATAGGGAAGCCATGATAAATATAGTTTGCAGGTTTGTATGTTGCCTTCTGTGTAAAGGTTATAATGTTCACAATGTAAACAAAGCCTCCCAGAAGTCAATGTGAAGTTCAGTTCATTGGTATAACTATTGCTCGATGAAATTTATTCATCAGAACTTTGATTTTTGATCTCACCTGTTTGGGAGTTTGAGATGATTTTTTATGAGTATTATTTTTTGCTTATCTCGTCAAGTATTTTTGTGATGAATGATAATGAGGATCAAGATGAGATCAGATAAAACTGTTTGTTAGCCTGAAGTATCATTGAACTTTTCTGTTTTGGCTACTCAACTTTAAAAACGTGCTCTTGAAAAATGTAAACATCATCAACCTGTATGTTACATATACAGGAACATCTCTCTTATCCGAACACCTCCCAATGTGAAAAATGTTTTCTGGTCCTGTTATTCCTTCCATTGAAGCCCGTGTTAAAAAAAAACTTAAAATGTAAACACCTCCCAATTTGAACAATGAGGTTCAGCCATATTTGAAAAATTAAACCATGTTTTATACAAAAACGTTCAAATATTTACTATAAATTACTATATTTATCATGACGTTATGAGGGTAATCGAACGATCAATGTTCATCGAGAATGTTGCTCACTTTTCTTCAAATCCAGAATCTGTCGAACGCAAACTCTAAAATGTGAACACCTCCAATCACAATCAGACGGTCTTACATTATCATAAGAAACAATTTGCCTCATGACCCCTCAACTTGAGATAACCATATAAGTAATCTGCCTCATGGCCATTCACTTGAGTAAACAATTCAAGCAATTTCCTTCATTGCTCTCAAATTGCATTGTTACTTTTTACTGGGTTTAGAGGTAGGGACAATCGAAACCTTGTGAATAAGATGCTTAATTCCTTGGTCACATTTGCTCTGATTTTCACTACGGCGCCCGGCAGATTGAGTATTTTGTTCAAAATTGAATACAATATTGAGCAAATGTGACTCAGGCATAAATTGAGGCAACCATCTTCACAAAATGAATGATACACATTCAGCAGCTTGATAACTTACCAGCAAATCTAGGTTTTGTTTTACTGATAGGCTTTCATATGTGAATACTCTCATTTGAAAATCAATACTTGATCAATTATCACTCAATTCACATATTTATAATCTGCGTCACAATGTAGCATTTATACTGTTGGGCTATTTCAGGTCATCGTTCTTTAATTTGAGCATTTCAGATCAGGCCGGGCTCTTGTTTTAGGCTATTTGAAGTTGATACTTTATTTTGATGTAGAGCTATCTGCATTTACCCATTGTTACTGAATAATATTAGTTATTTTCAGATACTGTTTAATACTGTAATTAACATTATGAGCTAAACTGTTTCATATTAACCAAGGCTTCATTATTGGATACAATTGAGGAAATCGAGTTTCAAATATCAATCTATTTGTAAATTGTGGTGCAATTGTTTCTGCTCAAAATTGAGAATTTTCCAGCAGCTCAAGTCAAATATAGATCTGTAGAAGTTACTTATACAGTGTTTTAGAATCAGATCATACTAAGAGGTATGCCCATCCTCAAGAAATGCCTCATCATATACTTATATACTCGCACTGATACTCAATTCAGAATTAGGAAGGTTTTCTGAGGACTGCACTTGGAATGTGCCATTTCTTATACTCACCAGCTGTTCTCCTTCCTCAGTTCTTTATGGTTATTTCATAACATTCAGTTTGTGACATCATAAATTCTTTGAATTCCAATTAGAAATATTTGAATATTACATCTCAGAACAATTCAAAAGATGATAAAATGCCATTACACTGTCCCGGTAATATCTTGTCTTCTCTACACATTTCTTTGATTCTGTCCCGCTTTGTTAATTTGTGAAGATGTGCATTGAGTGCCAAGTATTTAATCTGAAAGGTTGCCAAAAGAATTCTACTCCATGAACCGTATTGTGAATGTTGAACTTATGTATATGTTGTATTTTGGACTTTGTACTGTATATGACTGAAGTCAAGTCTGATTTATGTCTTTGTTTTGTCCAGTATCAATTAGTTTGTGAACAGTTTGAACTGATAATGGTTGTTTATTGCTGAGAAAACCTGTTAAATGTTAACATCATTTGAAATAGATAAAAGTTTGTAAATCAAGATTATCTAGACTATGTCTAGTGCAAGTTTCATTGTATATGACCTTAGATTGTTCTTTCAACTTTAACACGGATCCCCCAAAACATCCCAGATCAAGTGGTCCTCTAGGGAATCATACCAGTTTCAGAATAACAAGCCATTACTTGCTTTTTAGATATAAAGAATGCATTTGATTTTATTGTGAGGTTATATGATAAAAACAAGGATATGCCAACTGTATCAGCTTATTTATCGAGACAACATTTTCATCACAATGAAAAATATGAGTCTGATAATCATCACCATAGCAAATAGCAATATCATTTTATATTGTGATATCATCTATTATCACTCTTTATTTGACAACAGGCGCTCCATTTATTCATTAGCAAAACTGTAGCAACACTCTGTTTATCATTTGCATATGATGCTACATCATATTAGTGTTGTCGCGATGTGCCATAATCGTACATCGATGCATCGGCAATTTTCAGTAGTAAACATCGATGCACATCGCGATGTACATCGAGAAAAAGTCCGAGGAAAGTGCTTTGAAATACCGAACGCTAATGCACTAAAATACCGAACATCCGATTCATCCGGGAACTTCTAGTAAGGGTGAAATGAAAGTAAAGTAGTTTTTTTATTAGATTAATGGTTCATTTCGATTAGCTACAACAGTTTTAAAGCGAAAGAATATCAGAAAACATTGGAAAATGAAATAAGACATGAGAAAGGTAAGCGATTGGCGTCAAAATAAGATTAGAAAGGGTGATTTTTGGCAAATTAATTTTTTTTAAAAACATCGATGTTTTGTTTCAGACATTGATGCATCGCCAGAATCAGCTTTGGCGATGTATATCACGATGTATTGATTAATCGCGACAACACTACATCATATTGCTCCCATTCTATAGAAATATATTACACAAGGCAGCAAGTTTTTCATGACTTATTCAAATCATGAACAGAAATGTACCCTCCCCAACTACCCATATGGAAAACCCAAAAAATGTGATGCAAGTATTGAGTATATACCAGCATAATTTAGGTTACTTAAAATATACCTTGATTACCAGGTTAGCGATCATCTAGGCTACTGCAGGTGAATTTATTCTTAGTTCATAACTGCTGTTTGTAATGGAACTTCAGGTGTGCCTGGATTTATGCATTAATAAATCAGAAATCACAAAGGGCAACATTAAGAAAACCATAGAAAAGCATCACAGATGAACCCATTGAGTTATACATGTACGTATATATAATTAAATATAAATAGTCTTGCAATAAGCCTTTGGACCCACCACCAGTCCACCCTCTATCTAAGAGGTGAAGCCTGAAGCAAGACAACTCTATAAAATACTATGAATATACCTATAAACCTAGTAAACTACAACATACAACCTAAGAAACATTCCAAAACAACAACAAAAGTAAAATAAAAAAACATTTCATCAGTATTGGACATTACTTGACTACTAATTACTAAGTTACAATATCACATTATTGCGTCTCCTTTAATGTAACTGGGAATGAATATTAAAAGTAAATCTTACCTTCTAAATGTATGTTTATATTATCCTACTAAGTAAATTATCCTTTTAATATTTTAACATTTCATCTGAAAATATTTCTAATGTTTTACATGTATCCCAATTACTGGCAAACACGTAGAAGATGCAGTAAATAAGATGTAGTGTTTTTATCCTATCAGCTGCTACTGTGTTGTGTTTGGATGAAATGCTGGCTGTGATGTAATGATGTCTCTTGGCCAATAGGCGTAATGTATTGCACTATTGTTATTAGATTATTAAGAACAGCTGGCCAATGTTATCATGTGTCTGTATAGTGGTACAGCTGATTATATTGTTCAATACATGTATATGTATATATTGGCCACCAGTATGTAGTATGTACAATTTGATTAATGTTGTAATAATTTAGCTAAGAGCGTGTAAAATTTTGATCTATATTTAATCATGAACAATTTATGTTATCCAATGATATGAGATTGATATGATTCTTATAAAAACGAATATTGTTTCCATTCTTCCATTTAAAAAACATGGTTCTGGTCATTTCAGTTCAATTGTACAGTCTTTCGCACTGTTATAATAAAGATTGCTAACTCCATTTAATCAATATGAATATTCCCATCAACATGTTTAAGGTACAGTTGGGGACAAAAATAAATGACAGGTCGATTTTCGATCACCATTTCCTAATTATGGTGGTCTGAAAGCCCATAATTTCCAATATTGTCTAGATATATATCCCTTAAAATTTGTATATTTTACATTTTGTATAATCTCATCCACTGATGTATGGCCTCTTGTAAATTCTCTTATTTTTAACATGGGAAATCCTCACTTCAGCAAATCCACCTGTCATTTATTTATGTCCCCAACTGTACAGTATATCTCGTCACTGTGCATTTGACTGTAGTTAACGATGTTATGAAAAATGTTAATAATCAATAGGCTAATGTAACATACCTTTGTATAACCTGTCATCAGTTACTATTCAGTAACTGAGTATATATTGCAACTCTCATTATATATACAGTTATTATATTACCTAATTTGCTATGATTTCTTCACGCTGGGTTTATGAACATTTTATGAATCTTTGTAAAGATATCAAATATATGATAAAAATATATATTGAGTTAAGTCAGGAAGTGATATTGATTAACAATTTAACATCTTTCTTAACCCTGTCCTAGTAATTCATAGCACATGTGACCAATCCATAAATTGTTTATCCAATCAATAACCTTCATGTTCTTCACTTCATTAATGAGTAGCCTTGTAATGAAGTGCTCCCTACCACTTATATGTTTTATGTTTTACTAGCCAACATGCATAGGTATATGTCTGTTGAAGGGGGGGGGGGGTAATACAAGGGCTAATTTAAGTGCATTATTTGAAGTATTACCTGAATTTTCATTTTTATTAAAAAAAATTAAATCATATCTACCACTCACCTTTAGGCTTTTGGCATTCATTTCATCTGAGCTATCTAAATATTCAGAAGCCTTCCATATTGGCAGATATATTGATGGTATACCTTGAACTTGTAAACAAGATTAGGCAGCAAAATCTGTCTTCAAGAACATATCTTTAAAGAAAGATTAACGGTGAAAACTTCTCTCCTAGGAACCCACATTTGATAATCTTCGCACGCTTGGTCTTCACTGCATTGAGACCGAAGGGAGCAGAGTGAACGAAGATGACATTTGATTGCAAAGTGTATTCTTTTTTGTAGATTAAATGCCAAAGCCAGCTTTAAATTTTCTCTCAGTTCAGTTCTGACCTTTGGTGCTTCTTATAATTAACAGTTCCAAATGTGACTGCCATCATTTCAATTAGTTTGATAGAGTATTCAATATCCCTAAACACCAACAGCTCAACTCAACAGCAGCGAGAACAGTAGAAGGAGAAAGGGAAATTCCTAGTGAATCGAACACAAATCTGTAACTTTACGAAAATTGATCTGCCAGTATTTTCTGGGTATTTCAAGTCTTCAAATATTCTACTTGTGGCGTTCAAATGAACGTACTGGAATCAAAGGCGTTCACTAGTACCACCAGCGGATCTAGACGGGGACGTGGGGGCGCACGCCCCCCCCCCCTAAAAAGTCGGAAAATTTGTGTTTTGCCTCATCGCTTTTTACAAAATTTGTCTCTTCGCACACAGTTATTATCATACGCCCCCCCCCCCCTAACACTTAATCCTGGATCCGCCCCTGAGTACCATGTTTCTCTGTGTATTGATCAACAATCTAGTAGCTAATGGATGACTAGCTCTGAGTTTGAAATAATCAGGAAGATTTGATTACAAAAACAAGACACGGCCAGACATCTGTAGCTTCTAATTAGCAAAGTTGTTTATCAAAGACAAGGTCATCATATTAACACTTTTCACACTGGCAGGTCCAGTTTAGAGTTAGACTCTATCTTATCATTGAGATCAAATGTAACTCATTCAACGTATTGAAGTGAATAGATGGTGCTTTATCAAAATTGATGTAAGCACAAGTACCAAAGAGTTGAGACAGATAGCATTATTCAAAACACTGTACTAAAAAACATTTAGAGTTGAACCAGTCATGAAAATATCCTAAAATATGATCTAACACAAACATACAAGATGTTACAAGATGTACTTGTATAATACCAACCAATAATTGAAAAATTATCATGTTGACACCAGCTGTGTTCACTATCAACTAAAACTTTGTCTTGAGAGATTGTGGCAAGCCTACCCTTTGCATTCGTTCAATTTCACTTCTTAAAAGAGAGCTTCGTCTTCACTCTGAGTTTACAATAAATCTCTGATCTCACCAAGCCAATCAGAGTTTGTCGTCGAAAAAACGCACAACTTTATATATGGTCATTTTCTATGACATCATCGCATAGTTAATGAGCACATATTTAGCACCTGTTCCCTTCCACTTCGCAGATTAGTTGAGAAAGGGTCAGTGTGGTAGATTTGTCAAAGTGTCAAAGGCACTTATCTTTGGGGCGGGGGTCTGCTAAACTGCAATATAGTCTATACTAGGCAGAGGGTAGTTTATAAACTAGACTCTGCGTGCAAGGTATGGCAAGCCATGCCTTCTCCATCTCTGTCTGGACCACATTGTGATGCAAAGCGAGAGAGATGCTATGAACATGTTTTTTTAGTTTTAACATATTTTCCA